TTGACAAATAGACTATTGTTAAAATATAAAAAAAAAAGAGAAAAAAATCTTTGATGCTCTAAAGTTCAAAACACGTGGCTATGTAATGAAACCTTTGGAGAACACCAGGCAAATGCTCGTCTAATTCTTAGTTTACCCAACCGAAATACAAAATCATGTATAAGTCAAGATCAAAAAGAATAAAAAACTCCTAAGACTTTTCTTTTTTCTTTCTTCACTTTAATTGAAATGTACATTGGCGTGTTAATGTATATTTAAACAACCAATAGATATACAGAGTCTTATCGATCGTCATTGGTTTGTGTTATCAATTATATTTATTTGGTCTCTATTTTTTTTTTTATAATAATTAACAAAATAATTTCATCGTCACGCTGTGCGTGCGCGTAGACGCGTGGTGTCAATCAATAAAAATGATAGTAAAAAAAAGAAAGAAAGAAAGGAAAGAGATACTACACCTAAGGCAATTGACTAAATTTATATAGAAAGCATCGATATATTTTTTAATATACTGAAGTTCTTTTTTTCGTTTTTCTTTTCTCGGATGGTGTAACATTATTACTCCATTTGCTTGTCAGAATTCGCGCGCCGCCGTGTGTGTATATGTATATGCACACATACAAACACACATAGGAAAGGCTTCTCACGGTATAAAATAAACATCTATCTCTCGCACGCGTCTCTCGTTCGCAAAGGAATGCTATCGAAATGTCCAATCGTTTTTTTTCTTCCCTTTTTTCTTTTCGTTAAAAGGAGAGAGAGAGACAGAGCAAAAGCAAAAAGCGAAAAAAAAATCTTCATCAAATAGCTATTAGACGTGTGCTGCGACGGGTGACATTTCGAAATCGACATATACGTATATATATACACGCGTAGTTGATTCTTACCAAACACTTTCTCACTCTTTTGAACTGAGTTATGATGTTGACGTGTGACTATTCCGATACATCGGAACAAACTTCAAGAAAAGTAAGTTACTTCAATTGTTTTTCTTTTCGACACCCTTTCGTTATTTTCTTTTTATTTACTATAGTTTGCTAAGACATGTGTAGAAAAAAAACGACGTGATCGTATTAATAAAAGTCTTGATGAATTAAAAGATCTTATGGCTTTAACTGATGAAGTAAGATTTTTTTTTCTTTTAGAAAAATAAATTTTAATTGAATTCTTTTTTAAATAGAGAGCAAGATATCAAAAATTAGAGAAAGCCGAAATACTTGAAATGACTGTGAATTATATTCGAAATTTAAAACGTTCAATGAATAATTCAATTGAAGATTATGAAAATGGTTATAGACAATGTTCAGAAGAAATGTGGAAATTAATTTATACGTTACCAAATATTGTTCCTGAACAACGTGAACGTTTAGCTAATCGTTGCCGACAAATGTGGACAAATCGTCGATTTGCTCAACAGCATCATCATCATCATCCATATCAACGACGAACAATACCAACAACAAATGAGCAATATTCTCAACAACAATCATCATCTTGTCTTAAAATTCTTATTAATCATCCATCAATAGGCAATACTAATAATCCATGTTCTTCATTATCATCATCATCATCAAATGGTTCATCTAGTTCTCTTAGTCCATCATCACCAAAACTTTGGAAACCATATATGTAAATAGACATGAAAAAAACTTTATCACAGTGATGAATGATTTTTTTTCTTCTTTCGTTTTTCTTTTGTATGTGTGTTTTTGAATATATAAATTATTCAAACAGATTATCATCTAATAGTCGTGAGAAATGCTAAGGAAAATAACATTATTTTTTTAACATCTAGAACAATCTTGAGAATAATTTTCCTTCATATTCGATCACTTGACAAGTATTTTTAATATCAGTTCATGGTGAGCAAAATTGAGATAATGATGAAAAATGTGTTAAGAATTCATCATTTTTTTTAATACTTTCGGAGATAATTGAAGTCAAAAATAATATATATATGTATATATAATGAAAAGTAAAGTGTGCTTGCACAATCAACTAACACCTAGTTATTGATGCTTCTAGTCTTCATTCGTTTCTTTCTTTTTTTTTTTTTTTTTTTGTTATACTCAACATTATGATGACCTATAAAAGTTGAATATGATGACAGTCAGCCAGCCAAATGGATCCATTGATGGATACACATTACAAATGACGGGTAGGTGTGTGTATATATATAATGACTAGTAGTACTACTTCGTATGTTATTGTTCGTTCATCTTTAACAAGAACAATCGTCTATACGTTGATAGGATGATTACATTCATAGTTATTTTTCTTTCTTTTGAATGGCATAATGATACTCGTGATTTTTCATTATTTGATATTAGCCGACTGGTTGTAAGATACGTCAATATTTTGTTGTCTTTTATTCTCTGATGAAGTCATCGTCTTGTGACTTGTCTTAACATGCAAAAAAAAAAGAGTAGTGATCTATTACATAATTGAATCTGATTCTTATATATATGAGAAGCACGACATACATGAAAGAAGTAGGTGCGTGTATATGTATATATGCTCATCCTTATATATATATACGTATATGAGAGAGAGCGCGCGCGCGGTCTTTTGCCCACTAAAATTATGATGATGATCAATATTCAAAAGATAAGAATACAATAGATGTTTACATCATCTATCGAATGACTGTACACACCTTTTTTTTTCTTTTCTTAAAGATTATTTGCAATTGATTTTTTTCTTTCCCAGAAGACGATGACATTCGTTTGATCTATATAAATTCGGCGCCTGAAGAGTATTTTTGAATGTACGCGCGCGTACAAGTGCGATCACACAAGATCGATATTGAGATTGTCATAGTTCATTGAATGTGAACACGATGTATGATGATTTCATAATATACAGCAAACACAGTTTGTGATCACTTGGGATCTTATAAAAGCCTGTAGGCTTATTGTTTTATTCAATAGCAAAAAAGAAACAAAAGAAAATAACTACTTGATTCCGTTTAAATGAATCAAGTAGAAAATAAACTATTCACATTTTTACAATCATTATCCAATTAGATGTTAAAGACAATACATTCCAAAACAAGCTGTCTTTTTGTTTTCAAAACAAATAACAAATGACATACTTAACTCATCAACATCATCATCATCATCATCATCATTGACGTTTTTCATGTGAATTGACCATACATACTATTATCATGCTTGCGTGCATTCGAAATCCGTAAATGATCGAATGTCTATTGCATACACGCATACATTCCAATCTCTGCATTATTATGATAGACAGAACATATAGATAGAATGATCATGAGTCACGGAAAATTTATTGAAATATTCATTTGACATGGCTGCTATGTGGTATTGTTGTCGAATTTAATTTAGATATTTTTATCTTTCTCAATATCAATTGAGTTCACATATTAAGATCAAAATGCCGCTTTTCATAGACAATATATTTATAAAAATGAACAATAGTGTCGCATGTCTAATTAAAGTAGTACCTGGGTAGTAGCGTAGGCAACTTTTCAATTATCACCTTTTGTCGAAGAAAAGAACAACAGCAGTATTTGTCTGATGTGTACAGTTGAGCTTGTCGTCTTTGAAAATCGATGCGCATACGTTTCAAGTCACTACCCACACACATCTCGGGTGTGCTTTGATTGTTTTTATTCTTATTCGTTTTTTTTTTACAATAGGTGTGTACGTGTGGTATATGTTTGATCTTTGCTCGGACCGGTGATTGTAGCTGTCAAATGAAAAAAAAAAGACAGAAAGAAAAGAAAAGAACTCACTGGTGACAACAACTCTAAAGGGAATCAAATTCCCAATTTGTCAATAAAAAAGAAGTGCCATAAGATCGATTGTTAATATATTTATATAAATTCTTAAGATGTGTTCATTTTTCTCACCAATTTTTGTTTCGAAGAGAAGAGAGAGGACAAGAGGATTGTTAGTTTCAGTCATGTCGGAAATACTATTTTGTATTGCTCATGAGTCAATTATCGCTTGAGGGAGGTGGTAACACTTAACAATTATGCGCATTGTCATTGTCGTGTGTATATGAATGTTCATAAGTTCAAAGCTATCGGTCGGCTATTTATTTCAATTTTAAAATAATTCTGCCCGCCATCTCTACCTCTTCATTGTGTTCTCATCCATATACGAAGGAAGTCGAAATTTAATTCTATAAAGTGAACATACGTCTATAGATGTAAGGAGTATGTTAGTAAAATGTTCTCTCTTATCAATATATATAACAGCAGTGAATGCACTTGAATGAGCATCGTTATTTCATTGTTTGTAGTTTTCTTTTTCTTTTTTTCCGACATTTGAACTTCAATGTTTTACTAATGTTCAAGTGTCCGCATACTCAGTAGGCGGAGCGCGTGAATATATAGACACATACAACATTTATCACAGCAGTCTTAGTATAATACGAAATTCACCTGCCTGCTGTTACTGATTCATGAATTTTTATTCTGTTGTTTTTCGTTTTGATCTTTCCGATATGTCGTCTTTATATATTTTTCTATTTACATTTCTCAACATGAACACAATGATATGCATCATCTTTTCTTCTTTTTTTTTTTAAATATTTCTACATGTGAAACTCGTGCATACACGTGCAACATTGGGATATATATACATGATTGACGACGTGTGTACATAGGCGTCTCCTTCTTTGATCTCAATCGTGGGAATCACATCTTCCGTTCTCATAGTCACATCTCTTACGTGTATATACATAGTGACAAAAGCCGGTTAAGTTTGACCATGTCTTCTTTTGTCACACCTTATTTTCATCTAAAAGGACTGGATAATGTGGACAATATAGATTAAAAGAACAGAAAGAGATTGGTTATTCAATCGTCTATTGACCAATACAAAACATAGGAGACATACGCACAGAAAGAGAGAGAGAAAGAGAAAGATATAAAAAAGAAAAAGAAAAAAGTTGAACTTTTTTTTTGTATTCTGTCTATATAGTCAGTTTAATATTGAAAACGACGTGAGAGTCAGACGAAAGCAATGTACAATACAAGTGGAAGCGATATTGATATAGAAGAATTTGAATATCATTCAGGTTCACGTAAAGTAAGCAAAATAAATAAAATCATGTTTTTCTTTTCTATTTAAATTTTATTTTTGATAATCTAGATTGCAAAAACATATGTTGAAAAAAAACGACGTGATCGTATTAATAAAAGTTTAGATGAATTAAAAGATTTATTAGCTATTCATTGTGATGTAAGTAAATAAAAGCCAAAATCATATACAAAAAAAAAATTTTATTCTATTTATTTATTTTAGAAAGCACGTTATCAAAAATTAGAAAAAGCTGAAATACTTGAAATGTGTGTTGATTTTGTCAAACAAACAAATATACATTTAAATTCAATAAAACATAATTATGAATTAGGTTATCAACAATGTACAAATGATATTACAACATTTCTTAATACAATACCAGAAGTATCATTTATTCAACGACAACATCTTTTAAAACATTTATCAACATCAAATAATCGTCGTTTTCATCCTTATAGACAAACAACAAGTCATCATTCAATTGTTAATGAATGGTTTAATCGTTGTGGTGGTGGAAAACAAAAATCTCTACCTGATTCATCATCGGAACGTTCAAATACATCAAGTCCATCATCATTTGATGATAATAGTGAACGTTCATCATCTCTTTGGAGACCATGGTGAATTCTTTTTTTTTTTCTCTTTGTAGTATATCTTTTTCGTTTTTTTTTTTGAAAAATATAAATCTTTTGAAAACAAAGTTACATATTTTGACGTGAAGATAAAGAAAAAACAACACATTTCCGTTCATTATATCTATGTTCTTTACATTTACTTTTATCTTAATAGCAGGTGTTCAACACGTGTATGTTTTTATACTCAATAGGCGCCATATAAAACCCATTATCAGAGGATGTTCATGGCATAATCATTACTTTTCAAGTTGATTTTTTCTTTCTCTCTCTCAAACGGTCTATAGCATCTGCTTTTTTTTAAAGGAATGTAAAGAATCTATTTTGTTATTTTTTCTAATTATATGTATATGTATATACATATATATAAGCATGTATGTTCCGTTGATTCAATGATAATTACTTGATGAATAATATTGTATTGAGACACGTGAAGCCTCAATATCATTGTTTGTATATATTGTCTCATTAACACTTGAGGAAAATTCATATTAAATATACAAAATTATCTCATGTAAACGATATGATCTCTTAGCTAAATCATATATATGAATAGCAATAGAGATCGATTGCGTCAGTAAACATAGAATTTAATCATCTTGATCAACAAAAACAAAAAAAATTAGAATACAACTTTCTATTTTGTAACTAAAATAATGTTGATTTTTGTCAACATTAGTACCTTCCGTTCATTAAGATCATGAAAGATAAACAATATATATAACATAAAATGTCTCAAATCAGGAGTATCTCGAGGTCATCATGATTGAGAGGAGGTCGTCCCTTATTAAGGGGATTGATAAGCAAAAAGAAAAGAAAAATTGTTTAGTTTCATCGAGAAAAATGAAAACTTTCCGAGACTAGGCAGAGGTCATTTACCGTATAACGCTTATCGAGATTCGAATATTTGGACTCGGATTCGATCGAACCGTACTTTGATACTTTCAATTCCAATTTTCTAATCTATATAGGATAGCCATCTCCGAAGATAATAGATAATTTTTTCTGGTTTTATGTTTTCCTCTTCGGAACATCCCTTTGTCAAGTCATGCTTTCACATCATTTCTTTTATTTTACAATAATAACCTATAGTTTATTTTTTCCTAAAAATAAGAACATGTTGCCACGGAAGTGATTCAATAGCTTGTAATAAAAAGAATCCATTTGATTCAAGTTCGAGTTTGGCTTGAAAAAGAGACATACGATGATCATCATAAATATTAGACATCCAACTATCTTCTAAACGATATTCAACTAGAACAAGTCGACCATTTGGTTTTAATGCTCGATACAATCCACTTAAAATAGCTGGTGGATTTGTGCATTCATGATAGGTATCAACCATAAGAATGAGATCACAAGAATTAGGTGGAAGGTTTGTATCAAAATGTGAAGCTAATACAGGTACTATATTTGATAGACCAAACATATATGCATTCATTGCTAATTGATTAAGCATTTCAGGTTGAATATCCGTTGCAAAAACACGTCCATATGGTCCAACTAGACGAGCAAGACGAAATGAATTATAACCAACACCCGCACCAATATCGGCAACAATCATACCTGGTTGAATACCAAGTAATGCAAGCATATAATCAGGATATTCTTGCATTTCGCGGCCACAACGCATTAAATGATGAACATTAGAATGTGGCATAACTTCTCCAATTAAACGACCCATATAATAATTACGGCCATATTGTTGACACGGATATGAAGGACAATACATTTTTTTATTTCTTTTTAACTTTCACAGGTATATGGTAAACCTAATGTACAACCTACAAGGAAGAACAGTGAAATAGAAAGACAGACACACATATATTAATGTATTTCTTATGTATAACCTTGGTTTGTGTTGACCAAATTTTCATACATCCTTTTGCGTACATTTTTCAATAGTTAAACCAGGTTTTTTTAATCAGATATATGTCATTAAACCCTGAAACACAATATGTTTCATGCATTTTTCTCTTGACAATATCTAAATTGCCATCTTATATACATATACATATAAATTTCTTTAATGATTTAGTTTTTAAATATTTGATCAATTTTTTCGGGCAATATGTATTATGTTAAAAGATTGGTTTCTATGATAATATTTATACGTATGATCATAAATTCATCCATTTAGACTATGATTTATTAATCCATGTAAACATGATTTTCAACACAAGAACTTCAATTTCAGAACAATCTGTTTGACAGTAATTTAAGGTAAAAAAAAAAGAAAAAAGATGATTTTTTAGATATTGAATATTATGATGCATTTATTTTATAAGTTTTGGACATCGATTCAGAGAAAAATTTCAATTAGCATCATGTAATACTGATCATTGCTATTGAGTGGACTTTTTTCAGTTTTGATGTCCCTTTCCCTCAAAAATCGATCTTGCACCAGGTACATTCAAATTGCATAATATTCTCAGTATATATTGAGACTGTATGGAATAAGTTAAAAATAAAATTTTCAGCCCTATACTATGATCTTCGAGGAAGATATTCAACAAAACAAAGGTCAAAAATAGCTCATTTGTCAGCTTGAAATTCTCTGTTGGTTTTGATTCTGTATCAGGGTTGCCAAATCTTCTGATTTTTGTGAGTTTGGCACTTTGTTCTGATTTGTTGCCGAATTTCCAACATTTTTAGATGATGGTTTTATTAACCAAATTAATAACGACTATAACTGTTAATATTATACATTCGAATTGCGCTATCTTTTTTCCTTTCTTGATCATTAGTAGTATCTGAGTTCATAGGCCACTGATGAATATTTTAATATATCAATAAATTTTTGTGTTACTGGATTTAAGAATGAATGCTAATTGTTCTTTTCGACAGTTTTGTAACATATTTTAGCATAAAAATATTTATTGAAAAAATTTTGAACAAAGGAAAACATAAAAAATAATAGATTTTTCCTAAGATTTTTTTGGTTTGCATAATTTAAATATATGGTCTGTTTACGCATATGTTTCGTAAACACAGGTTTGGGTTTCATAAAATGAATCGGCAGTAGGTGTCTGTTGTTAGTAATTTTTGTATTAACTAACAATGGAAGGTTATATGCTGCAAATTAAGGCTTTCCCCGCTCTCTCTCCCTAACAAAAAAGTCACTTTTCGTCAGAATGATCGAAACTAAGATAAATACAGGAGAAGATAATTCGTGATCTGATCTTTCATAAACTGAAAAAATTTTTACTCGGTACTTCGTTTTTTCCACAACATTTTAAAGATATCCGTCATTCTCAATCCGAAAAATAAGCTGTTTTAAAAAAAAACCAACAATCTTTTTCGTTTTTCCTCGTTTCTATAGATTTTCGAACGTATCTCCGGGAAATTTCGAAGGAGCTTCAATGTAGTCAATAATTTTTTTTTATAGTTTGAGTTTAGGATTAGGAACTCTCGTGACCCTTTTTTAAAATAAGTTTTTTTTATTGTCACATGAGAAGACACTAATAAAAGCAGCACCATTTTTTAGAAGTTTTATAAGTCATTGAACTTGCTATCTCTTTTCTTCGTTTAAAAAGTAGGAATTTAATAAAAAAAAGGCCACAGAGTTCTTAGCCGTAAACGCTAGCTTTCAAACAAAAAAGAAATGAAAATGTATAGAATGAAGATTTACAGAGAATTCTTAGAGACCAAATGAGCTAATTTTGATTCTTGTTTGGCGAACATTTCTACCAAACGTCATGATATAAGACTTAAAAGTTTACCATTGCCTTACCACACTAGCCTCAACATATCTTGAAAATTTCATGCAATTTTGATTTGCTTCCAGACCAACTAATTTAAAATATAAGCTGTTATGAACGTATACAAACAGAGATGTTAAAATTGCAAGATAATTACAGTCTATCATGTGCCCATATTACGAAACTTCATCAATACTTAATTTTCTTTTTTCGTCATAGTTGGATGGAGAACGACCATTTACATAAGGAGAAACGATATCATACATATTCAAATGTAATTTTAGCATAATTAGAATCTTTTTTCTTTTACTCTCATAATTAACAAAAAAAACTATCTTAGACTTCTTAGAATTGGTTTTTAATAGGTATGACATTGTTTTCTTTCTTATATAAATTGTGGTGCTTCATCCAACCACGACGAAAAAAGAAAAACTAAGCGTTGATGAAATTTCGTAGTGTAGGTATATGGCAAATTGTACATATCTTGAAAATTAAATATATTGATCTGTGTACGCTATTGGCAGCCCACATTGTAAATTAGTTGGTTTGGCAATGAGAAATTTTATTTAATCCGACTATGATCAATCTCCTTAGTTGACAGTATATCATACTTGATTCTAAGCTGTATAGTGTTTGTATTGTCTTTTTTTATTATGAAATACTTTTGAAAGTAAAGTATAAGTCAATAAACAAAAGAGATGAAGCATTTCGTACACGTATATCAATATCATGGCCCTTGATTTGAAAAAAGTTATTCTTTATGGTAAACTTACGATATCGGAGAAAAAGTTCTGTTGTTTTTTGATCTTGAAAACACGAATTTCTGTTTTTTTTTAGTTTTTTATCTAGCGCCACAGACAATTCAAAGTTGCATAATCAAAAGTAAAAAAGAAATAAACGGAGAACAAGCATACTTTTTAAGCAGAAATTAATGAAAATTATATAAAAGTGTTAAAAAAAATGAAGTATGAAATAAGAAAAATCATGTCGTTTATGAAAGATCAGATCTCAGAATTACCTTCACATATATTTATCTCAATTTTCATTTTCCATATCAAAAAAAATATATCCAATTACTATTGATGTACTACTTATATTGCCCAGTATACCAAGATTTTTGCAACTTTCCTTCATTAGCCAATATCCAAGCTGACAAAATAATATATCATTCAAAGTTTCCTATAGGAAGATGCAGTATTTCATTTTCCACAAACTTCTATGAATCTTTATTTAAAAGAAAAGAATATAAAATTTTGATAAGCTATGTGCTGTAACTCAGTAAATGGAACTTACTTCGTATTGAGTTATTATTAGTGTATTCTTTTTAAGAAAACGAATTTTTAGTTGTGAAAAAAATAAATAAACAATCTTGTCCTAAACACTGTTCGAAAGGCATTGTCAATCGTGTATATTTACGAAGTATTGTAAATGCATATTCTCGAAATTGTACAGCATGTTATGTTTTGATAATAGCTAAATGTCATTTATTGATTACTCGTTTTCTAACGTACATCCTGAAAATTTTATTTACAATTAGATTGAATTCTTCTTTTTTTTGCAGAGTTTTATGAAAAATTGTTTTGTCTATTTATTTTGTGGGCTAATATTACTTAGTAAAACGATTAAGCTATCATCGTTCACACAAATATAGAGTATCTGATCAAATACGTACAAACACTGTTGGAAGAGTATTTGTGAAGATTCGAATCATCAATGAGAAGTTTATTGCGTCGCTGTTCGTAATTTAAAAAGAATGTTGGTACAGAAAGAAAAAAATATTGGCGAAGTAAACATCATTCACTGAGTCACAGAACGCAGTTTATGAAAAAATTATATCTGTTATTATAAGTAAAGGTTCACACCCATTGGTAGAGAATCAAGGGCAGCATCTTCTGATAGGAAACTTTGGATGATGTATTATTTTTCCTGACAGAGCTTCTTCCGGTGTGAAAGCGCTCTTTGATCGAAACGATGTTCATTTGATGAGTGCTAATTAGCAATAGATAAGTCTAGAATGATATTCGCTTTTACACATGAGAGAAGTTTAAATACTCAACATCTTCGAAAAGGAGATGCTAGAAAAGTTACAACTTTCTCTCTAAGCTAATCTCATTAAGAACTTTGTTTATGCAAAGTTTGAAAGCGAAACTTGAAAGTCTATTGTTCACTTGGTCACAGCTTTTTGTTGAAAAATCCATTCAAATTTCGATATATCAAGAATGAAAGTCCGGATAACAATACTATTCTAAACTTCTTTATTATTCTCTGACACCTATAAAATGAACATCATCTTGGTTGAAAAAGGATGTGATACATAGAAAGGTTCCTTCATCAGCTTGGATGTTTGCTAGAGAAAGAATATTGCAAAACATTGGTTCCATCTAGTATCTTATTTAAAATTTATACACGACCGATGCTCTGATATGATTAAGTTGAATGTTGTTTCCAGTGGCGGCGGAGCCCTTAGGCTTGGGGAGGCTTAAGCCTCCCCTAATAACAGAAAGGGAAGGCTTGGGGAAGCTCAGATACCTGAAGAAATTTTATAGATCTCATCCTGAATTTGTATTTAGTAAACGAAAATTCTTTGACCAAGAGTGTGTTCAGTCAGATATTAGATAGCGTCATAGAGAACGAAGTCATTAGGTCTGAGGAGCCTCGAGCCTTTTCAAGAAAATGAAGAGGAAGGCTAGAGAGACTTGACATCTTCTGAAAAAGTTTTCCGAATCTCATTCTGAATTTATACCGAATGTTCAAAAAAGTTATCCATATGATTTATTTTGTATATATCTTTGTATGCACAAATGCTAAAATCTTGATGTTTTCTTCAAAATATGTGATGTCGGTGGTTTCTAAAATATAACTACGAAAAAACTCCTGCTGACTTCTTTTGATGAATTTTAGAAAACTGAAATAAACGATGTATAAAACATTTCGAATTCCGATTATGTTGGGATTAACAAACATATTTTGAAATAATAGCTATTTTGCATTTATTTTCGCACAGAAAAATGATAAAAACCTGAATGGCTTATTGCAAACCTTTTGGAGTGAAAAAAAAAGTAAAGATGCGCGAGAAATTGAAAATTTTCTCCATAATAACAGATTGAACGGACCAGAAATGGCAAATTATTAAAGTCAAGTTTAATGTACAAAAATTCGTTACTCAATACGATAACACTATCAAAGTGTCCCGTGTCATGTTCGAAAATCATTTTAAAGATATAAAAGTGAACAACTAGGCAATTAATCATTTACATAGAGGAACAAATTTAATTCAGAAAAGTGAAAAATTGTCGTATTTTGTACATCTTTGCTTTTAGCTCTCTCGAAATTGGTTAAGATAAGTCTGGAGAACGTTTTGCTTCTTTAAAAACATCAAGGTTTTCAGAATTTTTGTGCGAAGATAAATAAGAAATATGTATATTACAAATATTTTTATTACTTTCAACATAAAGGGAAGTAGCAATATTTTACATATTCTATCCAATTTCCTAAGAACTCATCAGAACAGGTCCACATGACCTTGTGATGCAGTTGTTACAGAGAATTCAACAACAGTTTCTAGGATTCGTTTTCAGAATATTTCTATAAGTCCCGAGACTGATGTTTTCATTTCAACATTAAATTGAAGAAATTAAGGCAAATACAAACAGCTTACTAAAGGTGACGATTCACTCTTCCAGACCAGAGATTTTTTTTAGTATAGTTAAATTGCATTTTATGATATTAAACAGAGAAATTCTGCGATTTAAATGGTTCCTGTAAAGACCGAACAAATAATTCTCGAAAGATTGTCAAATTCAACGGCGCATCTTTTAAGAAAATTCTAGTAACAGTTAGAATTAGAAAGCTAAAAAATCCTTCCTCCCTTTATATCACTCCCCCATCGCTGCCTGAAAAGTTTTGAGCCTCCCCTAGATTTGAATCGTTCCGCCGCCTCTGGTTGTTTCGGAAGAAGATTTTGTCATAAATTGTCTTGTTTCAATGCTAAGATATATAAGTCTATTGAATAATCGGATCATACACATTTAAATGTTGCTTCAAAATATCATTAATCTTAGTCAAAATAAATCCCTTATCATGTAGACTTTATCATGTCAATATTTTTCTTGACAAATAAAAAAATAAAGCCTATTTCTTTTTCTGTAATGTTCGATCGCAAATATCTCATTTTGTTATGTATTATTTTCTATAATTTTCATATTAGTTTTTCTTGTGGATGTTATGGATCAAAAAGTTGTACTCTAAATGGAACTCTATGTAATTATGATCAAACGAATGATTCATGTTTATGTGATTGTTGTCCACCATGTAATACTTGTCAGCAATTTCTTGAATTTAGTTGTTTAGCGAATCGATATACTAAACATTATAGTTTATCAAACAATCAATCTAATATTATACTTAAAATAAATACACCAATGAAACCACAATATATTATTGATCAAACAAATAATGATATAGTTCAATATCTTTGGGATCCTTGTTTACGTCGAGCACTTCCTAATGGAATTTATTTAAAAAATGATAATAATGGTATTTATAAATTAATTGGTATACCAAGAGAAAAATTAGAAAAAACTTCTTTTGAAATTTTATTTAAAGGTTCAGTTAATCGAATTCTATTAGTTAATTTTACAATAACTATTATATAAATAAAATATAAAATAAATTAAACTTTCTTTGTTGGTTTTCGTTTGAAAACATTACGTGTAGCAGATGTTGATACTGATTGTTTTTTTGTCAAACTTTTTTCTAGGTGAAGTAGCTCATCAAGTGCTGCTTGAAAACGTACAAATTCAACAAATGATAAATTAAGACCATGTTTACGACAATCATTTCGTAATTGATTTATAATTGTATGTGGTGCACTCATTCGTGATACATGAGCAAGTGCAAGTAAACTACGACCATCATAAAGTGTTAATATTTTAGTAAAAGCATTCAAATTATGTTTTGCACACCATTCAAGTACTTCATGACCTGTCCAATTTTGAATTTTTTTTATTGGAACATTTGATGATACTGTAGGTAATTGTGATTGTGATGTTGGTGGTGGTGGAGAAGATGATGTAAAAGTAGTATGAGAAGTTCGATTATGAGGTGTAACTATTCGAGTCTGTTTGACAATAACTGGTAAATTATGATTATCATGAAGATGTGTCTGAATTTCAGATGCCATTTTTTCAACGTTGGATTCAACTATATTGAAAAGTTTTTTCTCTTCAACATTAACTATACGAAACCAATCATCGATACGATATGATGTTTGTACAGTGCATAGAATAATTTTTTTACAATCAAGTAAAGCTTGTCGAATAGCTGCTTGACATGCACAATCATGCTTTGTTTCTTCACTTATACACAAAAGAATATTGAATGAATTACGTGCTGTACCAATACGAAAACCCAGTTTTTCAAGATTTTCTTCGATTTGTTGGACAACAAGACGATCTTTAGCAGATGAAATAATAGCAATATCAAATGATACTCCATCTCTTGATGGTAGACGAGGTAAATTTTTCATTTGAACATTTTGTAAAATACCAAGTGCAGCTGGCATGCTTGTTAATGATGATAATCTTTTAAGAAAATCATCATTTTGTTTAATTAATTGTTCTAAAATGTCCGAATGAAATGAAAGTTTCCAAATAATATCATAAATAATCGGATAGTGTTCACTTAATTCAATAAAATTTCGTAATTGATAAGTCTCGGCAATAACGTGTTGTATTTGTTCATGAATCGTTAATGATAACAAACTATGTAGTATATCTTTTATTTCATCTTTATAATAATATAATAAATTCATAAATTTCATCGTTAATTTATAACTAATTCGAAGTCGAATTAATTGTTTTTCACTAACAATATGTCCAAGTAAAAGACAAGAATTAATATTTAATTGATAATAGTTTTGATTTGTTACATATTGAAGAAGTGTATCAATTAATTGATCACTATTTAAATAACAAGCTGTAGTTTTTGATTGTATACAAAGTGAATTAAATATATTTAAAATAGGTAAAAGAAAAATTTTTGTTTTTTCTTTTGCAAATTTTGATGATGCATTTATAAATATTGATAGTAATATTGATATACATAAATAATCATTTATTAAATATGAAATATCTATTTGAGCAAGTATACCTAATGTACAATAATGTAAATCATTATTATCAGATAAATTTTTTTCATTATAAAATTTTTTAAAAATTTGTGAATAAACTTCATTACACGTTGAATCATGTATAGGTAAAGCAAGTTGACCAATAGTACCAATAAAAAATGAATGTATTGGTTGAATATTTGTTGACAATAATTCAGTTAAATATTGTTTGTAATATTTTGATTGCATTGCCTGTTTAGTTATTTTGTCAAAAACTGGTTTTGAATATTTCATTATTGAATAAACATTAAGTAATATTGATATATAAGAAAGAAATTTATCTTGATGTCGTAGATTTGTTTCAATTATTGATTGAATTATGGATGTTAGTAATTGAATAGTTTCAGAATTAAAAAGAAGATTTTCAATACGTTCCAATTGATATTCATTAAAAGAATATTTAAATCTTAATAATGCTATTTTACGATTAAGATGACTAACATTTTTAATATATAATGATGATTGTTCATCAATTATTTGTTCACTATACCATTCAGCAAGAATAAAACGTGCATGACTTTCTATTTCATCAAAATAAGATTGATTTAAATTTTCAATTAAATATCCATCAGTGCCATTTAAATTTAAATTTATATAATCATTTAAATATTTAAGATACGATGTAGATGACATTATATTAGATACCATTATTGTCAATTTTTCGTGATTATATATTACATAGAATACTTGAAAATCGTTAAAAAGACATCAATACTATAAAATATTGCTCATAATCATAAAAGAAAAGTTTATCGCAAAATCTGTGCTTTTATATATGTAGTCTTCTATTGATGAAAAACGGAGATTATGTGGTTTATAACGACATATATTTGAATTTGATAACAGCTATGTACGCTTTTGAAAATATATTGATAAGTAAAAAATAGGCTTGTTTGAAAAAAATAAGTAATAAAGAATTGAAATTATTTTTACGATTAGTTTTAAAGATAAAATAAAAAAGTATTCATAAAAGAGGTATTATTCTTTATTTTTAAAATATATGTATTGTTGAATATAATATAATATTTTTGTTGTAGCTTTGTGAATGTATTACACAAAATATAGATGCTGTAAATCAAGAATTTTATCACATTATCAAATCATAAAAGATCAAAATAGTATTTACCCAAGTATTTAATAAAATCAAAAGCATTCTACGATCATTATTTGAATGAAAAATAAGTGATATCAATATCAAAAACATTTAAATGTACTGAGTCGATTATTCTATAGTTAATAGTAAATTTTTAGCAACTTGACATCATGACATGCATCAAATTAAACATCCCTAATAAGATTTTTAACATAAACAGCTTTGTCCTGATGTAAGATTGAAAATCTTTCCTTGGTGAACTAAAACAAAAAATTATTCATTGTATCTATCGACTTAATTTGTGTTTGTCCATATAGAATAGCTATTCTGGATATGATAGCTAGATTATAAAAAAAACTGCTTGAATTCATGATAAAGTAGTTACATATTTCAATTAAATAAGTCAAATAATGTCCTTTAAGAGGAGAAGTATTTTCATTATCTTAATGATAATCTGGCTGGCACAATGTTGATAATCTTCATATAATCAACCAAATTTTCTGTTCTTTACGTGTCAATATCACATAAAATAAAATGTACGAAAATTGATCTAATTAGATTGTAAAATTTTTTGCATTTATTTTAAAATGATATTTTAGTTACTTTTTAATAAGGGTGACAATATTTTTGATCATCGAATTTTTCAGCATTTATTCCATATTATTATTTATCAATAAAGTGTAAGTATTGCTCCAGACTGATGGTAATCTCACCTAGACACTATTCGATGCCGTCACTCTCACTCTATGGTGTTCCTTTCTATCAATCAGGCAAATCAGTCAAGAGTAACTTCGACTGATACTTTTCCTAAGCACTGATACAACGACAGCTATACTGTTTAGTGTGCTCCGCCAGTTAAATCAATTAGTGTATCAAATGCCATCAGTCTGAAGAAGAACAATATTGTTAAATGAACACGTAGTTTTTCTGCAGACACACGCATGCTTTTCACTAATTGCTTTGGTCATAAAGTAATTTTTTTATCACTAAAACAAAGGGTCGCATATGGATGAAGAGTTCTGTAGAACATGTACAAGCATTCAAAAATAGATAATGAAAAATCATTCCTTGAAAAAATTAACGATTTAAAGTATCGTTTCTATTTTAAAAATTTATTGATTAAATTTATATAGGTTCTTCAAATCATTTATTTATGAATTAAATACTTATATTTGAAAATAGATATAGATCGATTTGATATGAGTATGATACATTGACTTTTAATCAAATATGTAAGTAACATTAACCAAAATTGGATAGAATGTATGCATATTGAGCAGACATCTTTTTTATTTATAGTGTTTAAATTTTTTCTATTTTTATTTACTAGTCTTCGTGCAAATGTTGGAAAGCCTATGTGTCCACAGTAATACTATCTATTTCTTATTGTATAATCTTCTATTTCTTTTCAAGTAATTTATAATACTAAATAATACAGAGAAGCATAAAACGATTACTAAGATCAAAAACACCTTGTAAATAAACCTTCTATTGATTCATACAAACTTTCAATAGAAAAAAAGACTGTTATAAACTCACGTGCTTCTATCTAGAATTAATTTGAACTCGCATATAGTTTCCTCTTTAATGAACACTTGAGAAAAAAAACAGAAAAAAACGATATGACATTTCTTTCTGTTTGTACTAGATCATGCTGAAGGTTCAAGTAGGAACGAGCAAAAAAATGTTATGATCATCTTTCTATTTATTATGTTACTATGCTTCTGATGTAAATAGAGTTATTTTTGTTCTCGATTTAATAATTGATATGACCAATGACTAATCTTCTTTGACAGATTCTAGACATTGAGATTCGATAAATAATAATGAATAATGATAAAGTCAATATTCTTATAATTCTAATAAAGTATTAATATAAGAATTGTCGATATTACAAAATAATTCAACGAGAAAAAGGTCAAACAAATGTTCTAAATAGTATATTAATTCGAAATAATTAAACAGCTCGATAACAACTTTTCATGTGTGAGACATAGTCAAATTAATTATATTCGCATGATATAATAACTCGGTAATATTCTTTTGAGCTATTAATTTAATAATACAAAAGAAAGGTAATAGAAATGTTTTTACATCCCGCTTATCTTAAATTGTCTATAGAAGAATGCACCAGTGAACGGAAATGAGCTAAGTCTTATAAGTCTTCATTAAATTCCATGAAAACTCTTACTGCATAAAATACTATAAAAATCTTAACTAAGAAGATTTTTTTTACTATCTAAACAAATCATTATTTTAAAAGAAAATAGTATATCCGTATCTATTTTACATACATTGGAAAGAAGTAAATTGTATCGGATTTTACTCTAGCAAATAATTATCTAGATAAAACAACTTTTGTATTTTCTTTAGAATGTATTAATATTTTATTTTAACTAAAATAATTAAAGAATGAAGTACCACATAAGAAAAAGCAGTTCACTAACACATCTGTACATATATAATAAATTAAATTCAACAGCTGTCATATACAGTACGTACCAATGATTATGTAACAAAGCTTCTTTTCAGCTTTTTCCCACTATACCAAACGCAAGAATGAATTCGAACGGAGAAAATAGTTTTCAAAAGCAATATAGAGAAATAAAAATGATTATCAAGTTCTCAAAGACAAGGAGTCTAGAAAACCAAAGGGCTAGTTTTTCAGCACTTAAAATATGTGAAATATAATTTTGTTTACACTGTATGCAACGATAGAGTAAATCGTCCTCTACAAAATGAGACGTCAGCTAGTTGCCTGCGACGTCTTTTTTAGCTGAAATATAGCACGCTTTTGGAAACTCTTGAAGTTGGTTATTTTCCTATTTCCTATAGAAAAATCATTTTTTTAATCATCACTCAAATTGTTGTATCTCAGCTAAAAAACGTCACAGAGAACTCGGTTATGTCCATTTTGTAGAGAATACTTTACTGTATTGTTCTATATTATTCAAACAAAACTATATTTTACTTGTTCTGGATGCTGAAAAATTAGTTTTTTTGGGTTTTCTGAAGTACTTGTTTTTTGAATCAGATAACAATTTGTATTTTCTTGTATGTTTGTTCGAAACCATTTTCTCCCTTCGAATCACTATGCGGATTTTTTCTAATACTTGTGGCAGCAGAAACAATTGAAAATAAACCTTGTTGAATATTTTTGTTCATTTTATGATCAATTTCATTGTCATATAATTCCACAAACAAGATATTGTGCTTATTGTAGAGTTCTCAGTTATTTTTAAATGGAAATGTGAAAAGAATTGATTCAAAACAATAGTCGATGTTGAAAATCGAGCATTTAAGTAAAGTCACAGATATAAATGGTGTATTCAGGCGTCAGTTTCAATAATAATAGATAGTATTCGTTTTCTGATCTTGATTTTTTTTTCTTATTTCCTCTTTGAATATTTTTAACAGATATAGATGACTTTTTATTTGAAACAAATGTTCTTCGATGTAAGCTAAATTTATCTATCCTAAATCAATCAAAAAGCTGTAGATTTTATTAAATATAAATTAAATAAAATTTTTATATGTAAAGTCTATCATTCTTTATAGTAATTCGTGAAGTATAATACAACAAAGAAAGAAAGTTCGGAAAGATAATAGAGTTATTTTTATTAAAAGAAGTCTTTAGTCATATTTATATAAAGATTCAAAAAGACACTGGTACGTTTAATAGAGTTAGATCAACTATTGTATTAAAAGCTCAAGAAATTAATCAACGATTATTATCAGTAGGAATCCAGTCTAATAAAATACGAGCTTCAACTTCATGTATTTGTGATATGATAAATACTTATGCTAACACTATATTACAAATTGTTCAACCTATGTCTCAATTCATTTCATTTTCAACTTTGAAGGAACATGGATTACTTATATATAATACACGACTATTAATTATTGTCCTCTTCACACTGTCAAATGAGTCTTTGGTCTATACAAATTTTAACTAGAACACCGTACTAGAAAACTTCATTAGACCTTATTCTTTTACCTTCTACAAGGTGTTTGCATAATAAAAACAAACGTCATACGAGTCGTGTTTTGTTTCCTGATCCAGTTTTATTAAAATGAATTCTTGTTATACTTGCTCTCTCAACCAATAGTATGCATCGTAATTAAATGATAATTACTCATTAATTAGATGAATATTACCATGCATTTGCACTTCATCATAATCAAAATATGTCTGTGGAACTTCTATGAAAATATATGATGAAAGTTCAGTTTTGAGAAATTTATGAATATAGAAAATATTATTCTTCTTCGATTTATTTATTTTGTTATAGACATTGATTTGTCGAACAGCATGCAAGACAATATTACTATTGTAATTTTTTTTTTTCTAATTTCAATTATGACTTATATCAATATATCATTCGAACAAAAATTTGATGGAAACATTGCAAATTCAGTCTCGGACATGAATTATAATTAAAATTTTTAGTGATTTTTGTAAACAGACTATAGTTTTTATGTGGATAAATACATCTCATTAGATCTTACATGATATTGACTACATATTGTGATGTTCATTTAACATGAATATATAAAACAAAAGAGGTGTACAACATACAAAAATAGTTGCATTGTACACTATGCAATGAACTTTGTAACCGATCTATGAGGGTTCGACAGAATCCGTTTCAACTTCTATTCTTATAGCAGATGATTTGTCTAAATGATTTTTAATGCAAAAGAACAAAAAACATATTTTATTACAGAGTCTCATACTATTCTTGGCCTCAGTTTGATTATGAAAAGTTCTAATTACATGGATATATAGACTACGATGAAAGAGTATATTTAAAGATATATATTAATTAAGATTATCATATCTATCATTATTTGAAACGTCTAGCACTTAAAAATAGATTTGAATAACACATTGTAGAACAATTGTGAAATAAGTTCAATATATAATTAGAAAAAAAAAATTTTTAGCTACAGTTGATTTTCTATAATGTAAGACATACGACAACTATTGAGTAAAACACATTTTAATATACAATTAATTTGACATAACATATATGAATGTCTATGCAATAGAATATTTCTTGTGTTGATAACTAAACATTTCCTATTGAATTGATATTGTTAAACATTTTTTTTTATTTATCTATATCTTTTGTTATGAATACTATTCTTGAAAAAGTATAATACAATTTTTTAATTATTATAATGCTAAATAAATATCTATTCATATTAAATTACAAGTTCGATAATTTAGAAAGGTTTCGTTTTTCAGAACTTCGTTCGAATCAATAAAACGGATTAAAAATACTTCTAGTCAATTATTATTGTTAATTTTATTCAATGAAAACAAAAAATTTCACTAAGTGTATACGAAGAATATTTCATTGCTACGAAGTAGAAATTATTTTCTGAATTATTTATGTAATTTAATAGTCATCATTGATTTATTTGTTCAAATTTAGTTTTCGTCCTATGATGTTTGCAATTAAATAGCTTGTAACCAAAAAACCATGATGACATGACATGAGTAACACTCTTGTCAAAATTCGAGGTATACTACTAAAGTTTTGATGAAGTTTCTAATGCGCCTAAAATCTATTGCCATCCACAGAAAAGAAAAGGTTTTCACTTAAAGTAATGCGTGTTCGGATCAGTGATCTTATTTAAAAAACAGACTACATTACTCAACGTATTAATTTTTTCTTCATTTTTCTTCGCTTCTTTTTTTGTATTTCATTTATGAAAAAGCAAATTAAGATAGACCTCATTGTTCTCCGTTATGCCATAGACAAGTACAAGACAAGAAGAAAAAAAAACAAGAAATGTACCCGTTGAGCCCATTTCTGTTTGTTGCTTCTTGTTCTTTTTCTATATGAAAGCAAAAATTGCGCTTCATTGCAATGAATTAAATATAAATAATTGAGGAAGTGATCTTCTATTTTTTTTATCCTTTCTTAACATGCAGTCAAGAAGTTTCGACGTCAACAGTTTTCATTACAATCAAATGGGTATTACTCAAAACAAGAAACTCGTATGTCAAAATGAATGTCATGCAAAATGATTTACAAATTATGATAGTTTGTTTGTATTTACTAACTTTTAAATATTTGACTAAAATAATTTGTTGCAATCTTTCTATCAATAAATATAGTTATTCAAACAGTAGAATATTTTCGTTTAACAACTTATTGAAACATTAATTAAAATAAATTTTTCTTCATATAAGAGTTCCACTCATGTATACAGATGAGTATCAAGAGAATGAAACCCATTATAAGAAAAAAACAAAAAATATATTGTCTTATTGAAAAGAACATTTTAATCATAGTTGACATAATATATTAGATCTTCTGAAACATTTTTGAATTAATACATCACGTTATTTTCTTTTTCTAAACAATCCTATAGTACTAAAACGTTTTTAAGCACGATTGCAATAAACATATAACTAAAATATATTATTACTTTTATCGTTTATGATAATAGAGTTAATTAAATATTTTTTTTTTCAAAAATTTTAATAAAATTATTTATGTTCTCGTTAATTAAATGAGAGAGTTTCAAAACGTAATGTTCTCATGTGCCTATTATTTATGCTTGAATAAAAATACCAAAAAAGGTGTAAACTAAATGATAACTTAAATTTCATGTTATGAGTTAATCATTCGTCTTCTCTTCATTTTTTCTATATCTAAAAAAAAGTTGTTTTTTTTAATGTTATCGCAAAATAAAATAGAGTTAAGAAAGCCTATTTTCAATAGATTTGCTACGTAGAAAAATAGACAAAATTAAAATCGAATAAGTGCTCAACAGGAAAGACTCCTGGTGTATTGATATTGAGACATCAAGTTTCCTGTCAGATAATATAATGAAATAGACAAGAACGAGAATTTCTAGTTCAATGTTTTGTATACTATCCTTTTGAGTACTTTTAATAAGCTTAATTTATCTTAATTTTACTTGAGACACTAGAAAAATTACCAGAGAACACATATTAGAAAAAAAAGAGAAAAAAAAAGCTTCTTCTTCTATTTAAATATTCTTCCAATATACTATTTCTGTTCATTTGATTCTTTACAGAAAGAAATTATAAGCAGAGATTTAAGAATGGCAACTATGTCATCATCATTTCAGGTAATTAAAGTTCACTTAAAAACAATCTTTTATTATTCTTTTTCTTTCATTGTTTTTTCAACTAGATATCTTCAATACCATCTTGTTATTCACTTTCAAATTTACAAACTGAGAGAAAACAATTATTATGTGTCGTTTGTGGATCTATTGCACGTGGATTTAATTTCGGTGCAATAACTTGTATGAGTTGCAAAATATTTTTTCGTCGTAATGCATTTACAAATTTAAATCGTCTATATTGTCATGCAGGAGGAAATTGTGAAATAAATCAACAAACACGAAAATGTTGTACATATTGTAGACTTTTGACTTGTTTTCGAGTTGGAATGAAAAGACAATTAATTCGTGTAAAAGAAAATAATAATTTAAAATGGTCAAAAGTTGATAAACAACAATATAGAAAAGAATTACGATTAGCATTACACTTATATCGAACAACATCAACTAATCAACATATGTCGAAGGCAAATCCATTAGTAAGTTGTTTTATCTATTTTCTAGTATATTTGAATAGAATAAGAAAAACATTATTCATATATAGTATATATATACACATGAATGTTTATCTATAAGATGAAAAATAGAGTTGTGAGAAAAAGAAAGAAAACAATTATTTAATTTTAGTTCATTAGATCTTCTGATCGTTTACCATGGTTTGATCGTTTTGAATTATCGCATAATGATTGGTTATTATTAAATCAATTATCATTTAATTTTGATTCTCTTAATTATCATATTATAGCAAAAGCACAAGAAATTCATCAACAATTATTATCAGCAGGAATTCAACCACTTAAAATGAGAGCTAAAGCTTCATATATTTATGATATGATGAATATTTTTGCTGATACTGCATTAAAATTTGTTAAATCTATTCCACAATTTATTTCATTACCAACTTTGAATAAACAAGCATTACTTATACGTAATACACGACTATTGATAATGTTCTATTCATATTATCAATCAAATCTTAAATCCATACAAAGTCTAACTCAAACACCTTATTGGAAAGCTTCAGTGGACTTAATTTTTTTACCTTCTACAAGATGTTTGCATAATGAAATTATATATCATATAGGTCATGTTTCACTTGCTGATGCATATTTAATAAAATTAATACTCGCTGTACTTGCTTTCTCCACAAGTTATATGGATCATGATGATATGTCAGTTACGCATCAATTCGATGAATACTATCATGCATCGATGCTTCATAATATACAAAACATGTATATTGAATTGTTGTGGAAATATATGATGTAAGTTTAATCAAGAGAAATTTACTTTATCAAAGATAAACTAGTTCTCAATTATAATGATTTGTGAAGAAAAGAAACCTAGTCGACAGTTTTCTAAATCATGAAAGAGCTTGTATACAATAAATTTGCTTTTTTTTTCTCTAGAAGCTAATTTCTTTTAATTTCTAGAATATCTTATTTAATATTAAACGATGAAATTAGACGTTAAGTTTTTTCAATGATTATATTTATTTATGTATTTAGACATCGATTTGGTGAATCTCATACAATTCTTCATTTTCTTTCTATCGTTCAAGCGATATTACGAATAGAAAGATTTGTTTTTGGCATGGATAATAGTATGATATCATTCGAACAGAAATTTTCCGAAAATATCATAAAATCAATTGGCGAAAATCTTCAGTTAAAAGATAACATTTAATTGCAAATTATAGTTTTAACACAATTACAGATACCTTATTTTTAGTCTGTATAGTGTAGTTTTGTTTTGTAATGTATATATGATGAATGTTTTTTTTTTTTTGAATAAATATCATTGAAAGAAACAATCCACCTTCAATAAATATAATTTTATGTGATATATACTTAAAATTAAAATCATAGTCAGTAAAAAAAACGAAGTCAGAAAGTCTAGAGTTTCAAGTATGATTAAAAACATCGATCATATCTTATGCTTAACCTGCATCTACTATTTGCTTTACATAGAGTAAAACTTTGGTGATAATAAAGTCAGATCTATAAGCAAAACATAATAACTTAAATTCATCCGCGCATTTAGTATGATGATAATGTATATAATTGATAAAATATGATGTATATATTCTTTTTCGTGAGTTGTAATTTATTGATTAAGAATATAAGAAGGAACACAGGAATAGAGCTTCGTTTACTATACTTTCTTCATTTGGAATTAACGGTGAAAATCAAAATCTGATTTGTAAAGAAAAAACTTCAAACTGATGTCACTTTGTTAATGTTTGTTTTCAAAAAAACCGAGTCCATTTTGTCTAGGAAACTTACAATTTAATTTTTTGAAATTATTTTGTTTATACAAACATGGATTAGTTCTCTAATAGATTTGTTGTATTAATGAAAAAGAAGTATGATAATTATTTGTTGATATTTTATCATTAAAAGTAAAATCAAAAATGATTTGTATTATATTATAATTGAATATAAATTTAGTATTTCTTCAACTTTGATTATCTATTCGGAATGCATTTTCATGATAGATGAAAGTTCTTTTCTGTTCAAATTGATAAACTAGAAATTTTATTACAGAAAGAAGTTTTAGAAGCTTTGAGCTTATAAGACATCCTTCAATGCTTATAATTACTTTTATTGATCGTGTGGTTTAGCAGAACCTATTTACAGAAAAAGAAATGAATGACAGAAGTGCAACCTGAAGTTTTGATAATTTCTAAGTATACGTCATTCTTAGAATCATCAAAAAATTATATTTTTATCGAATAATTTCTAATCGAAATATTGATTTTGAAATGTTGACCTCTCTTGCATAGACCTTGTATTCTGACGATAACGCAGCCAAATGATTATAATCCTTGAAGAACTCCTCATCAGTTTAAAGCTGCTTAAGCTTTTCTTAAAATAATATCTTTAGAACATGGACAATATGTCATTGTAAACAATATATAATCAAATTGAAGTCTTATCTACATCAGAACATAATTATAGGGCATGTCAATGAGACTTGTAGAAATCTTCTTCACCCACACGAATTATTAAAATTTTGATCTTTGTTTTAGTCGAGCGATGTTCAGTCTTTGAACACAAAAGGTATTTATTCAATGCAAAATACAATAAAATAAAGACAAAAAAGAGAATAACGTAAACATGTATTTATTGCAATAAGAAAAGTCTTCTTTTTAAAATAAATGCTGGCAACTATTACTTTATATATGCCTGCATTAAAGGACAAAAGTCTTCCTCCATGTTCATATCTTGACTACCATAAATGTGCTAGGTCGGAAACTATATGAGTATTTATGTTACTAAGAATGTAGATCTGATGCACAGGCTTATTTCACTAAAAGAACTTTGTGGATCTGTCCATTCTTCATTATTTAGTGGTTTTTTTTTCTCGGTTATCTATCGTGTAAATTTCATCAAAGTTCATCGACTTTTTCTAGAATAGTAACCCTTTTTAACATGACCATTCGCAAGATGAAAAACTATCTGTTAGCCATTGAAGACCATCGCTCACTAATAGTTAAGTGAATTGAACTGAAGCTTGTAACATAACTTGTATCTGTAGTTAAACATTATCACCTACAAATTGCATGAAAGAACAGTCCACTAAATAAAAATCTCATCTAAAATATTTAATGTGTTGGGGCAGAGACGTATACAGACAGCAATCTTCGATTAAATTACATGATCTTTCTAATTAAAAAAATAACATAGATTAGCTTCTATTTATATGCTAAAATATTAAAAATTAGTCATTTACTTGAGAACAGGAGTAACAAGCAATTTAATCGACACTGCTTTTTCAGGGTATAAGCGTGAAACAAAGATAAATGCCCTCCATTATAATTCTCACTATATTTAAGTGATTGGGGTAACCTTGTGCTTCTGAACTTTTCTTCCACTACTGTATAGAAAACAGTTAAATAACTCATTATGACAGTAATAATTGTAATTTATACGATAGGTATTCTAATAATCATTATAATAGTAGATACTAGAGGTTTCAACAGGCTTGGCTGGGCCGAGAAAAGTTGGTTTATTCCATAAATTTCTTAAAAATGGGCCATTCCTAAATGCCTATGAGCCATTCATCTAACTGCATTGAATAGATTTTTAACACATGCATGAGGAAACATATTTCCAATGGCAGTACTTGGAATATAAACAAATGTCCAGAAATATTCGACAATTTGAAAAATCTTGATCCTTTCGATTTCATCAGTATTTTCTGACTTTCTTTTAGTTGAAAAACCAAAAACTTTCCAACATAAAGATGCATTTTTTTCATTTTTAATAACATATATGTCGATGGTTCTTAATTTCAAGAAAAATTCGATCGGTTCGAACGTATTCTGTTTTGTATGTGATGATGGACTAGGACTAGTAGTTGAAGAAAAATTTGTTAACAAAAATTGATGATCAAGAATGTTCTATAGGAATAGAATTAAAAGAAAATAATTAATGATGATATTGTAGTTGTCCATGAGCAAGTGGAACTAAGCAAGGATATTCTGTTGAATGTAAAGAACATTTTTTAGGATGACAACCATATTATTTTTTGCTTGATATATCTGCTGTTCATTGCAGAAGAATCACATATGACTTTCAATAAACAAAATTTACTAGTAGATATTCACAACATCTTTTAAAAAATTCTATATTCTATTCAAGATGCGGTCCGACCCATTCAAAGCTCTGTTGAATACATATGTTACGATACTTATTGGTTATGCTCCGTTGTAACTATTCATGTTCTTATTATTTTCGAAACAAAATTGAAAATATCACTAATAGACAAACCACTTCTATCCTAACCACAAAAGAAGTTAACAAGAAATTAAATTCAATAATTCTTTACAAAAGCAATATTGGATCCGATTTGCGTAACATGGAAAATAAGAAGGGTTTTTATAAATTACATAAGTCTATGGTGTAAGCTGCTCCCAAGACGCACTTCAATAAATTTTTTGTTATCGATGTGTCCAGCATCGATCACTTCGAAGTATCAGTATCTTTATATACAACTTGGTAAAAATGAAATAATACATATTTTATAGAATTTTGTGAAAAACAGAAATTTATTTTAAATTTAAGAAAAAAAAAGATCTATTTATTTATTATTCAGTGGAAATTTGCTTATTCGTCGTTTAAAATCTTGCTGTTTAGCAAAATCATTTTGATATTCTCGTGTTGGATAATTTGTTCGAGCATGACTTATTTGTTTTTGAAGTCGTTCAATTTCGCTTTTATGTTCTACTTCATCACGATGTCGTTTTTCAGTATTTAAACTAAATCAATCAAAACAAAAGAAAACTTATCAATTAGAAAATGAGCAATAAGAAAAAAAAAGCATACCTATGCGTAGAATAATTATTATGAGTATTAACAAATGCTCCATTTTGTACCATTCTTGTACGCAGACGTACATTTTCACGTTCAATCATATTTAATTCATATTCTTTTATCTATTATTAAAAATTAAGAGAAAACAACAGAAAGTTTCATTAAAATATACTTTTTTTTGTCTAGTACGTTCATAACAATGTGGTCGAGAAGGTGGACTTGCTTGGTCTAATAGACCATGTGCATTTTTAATCTATTAATAATAATAATAAATATATTTCATGAAAACAAAAATGACAGCAAAAAACAAATCTTACATTATTTTTATGATCTTCTTGTTCTTGAAGAAACTTTTTATGTGCAAGATATTTATTAGCAACAGGAACTATATTTGGATGAGAACGATACATTTAATATTCTTCAGTCCGTCACTTGAAAAATGAATGATTGTTGAAGACAAATTTATACTGAAGGAAGAAAACAATAAGCGAAATTTCTGTTTTTTTTGTATGTTGTTTTATTGAAAATATGTTACATACAACAACACTCTAAAGTAAGACACGTGTTTGAGACAAATAGAAAAAAAATAATGACTATTAAAATTTATTTTCTTGAAGGTTTTTTTATTTGTTTTCGATTGATTTTTAATATTACTTACATGGTGAGAGTTGCCAGGAGGAATATTTATTTGAAAAGAAAATGACTGATTGTTTTATTAAATGAAAAAACAAAACATTTACTTCTAGTTGAAAAAAATCGAATTGAAGTTTGAAAAATATTTGATACGATACTAAGATTGATCCATTATCATCAAAAGCACTTATTGTATTTGTTTGATGAATTGTTTAAAATTTGATCTTTCCGACATAATTAAAATGAAAATAAAAAAGTAGAAAAAATGTCTGTGCTTTTTCGGTGAATATACAATTTAATGTATTCAAGCTAAAAATTCATCAAGAATTATATGCATATTTAAATATTCAAAATATGTTGATAAGTAGCATGTGCAGAGGTTTCATTGTAATTATTTTCTACATGTCTGGTATTCGATTTCTTTCGATTTTAACTAGGTGAATGACAGCGAGCTTTTTAATAATGCAAAAGAATGTTATTTGTCATTCAACTATGAATGATGGTTCGAAAAAATAAGTAAAATTTCGATCAGTTATAAATATATACGGCGGACCAAGGGGGAGGGGAGCGCTCTCCTATTTATTCACAGTTTAATGACAGTGTTCTCTGATTTTTTGAGAGAAATTTCTCAAGAATTTTTCTAATGTGTAGGAAACGTGGATTATATCTTTCATGAATTTTTCAACAGATTTAAGTTACGCCTTTGTCTCATGTCGGATAAACTCACGGAGTTCAATTTTCTCCGAATTGCAGGAATTTATAGACTTTTTCTTTTGTTTTACAAGACTTGAACTATACCTTTTCCTGATTTTATCTCTTTTAGTGGCAAAGCTATATGGATTCTTATGAAGATCACGTATGAGATAAGAACAAGCTCAAAGTTCGATTTATCTTTACGTATTGTGTTGAAATTTTCGATCAAAAGCGTTTTTCACTAGAACTACTCATTTTGAAAAATTTCAATCAAAACAAACCACTCCAAGTGATCTCGTCCATCATGAAGCACGAGTCCCTTCAAATTTTTACTATTTCTTTGGTAACAATTAATTGAGAGTACGATTTAAAAAAAACTCTGCACGATACCGTTTCCAAGAGCAGCACTTGTTAGAGCTAATTTTCGATATGATTGTTTAACTACAAAAATGGTCATTGTGAAGTCGATGAATCATATAACTGTCACTGTCAATAATTATTTTTATAGTTTTTCAGCAGGACTGTTTCAACGATGAAAACTTTACATTATATTCGACAACGTTGAAAAAGAAAAGAATGGGCTAAACCCATGTTAAACCTTTCAGTCCCAAATTATTTCTGCTGGATTCGATTCAAGTCTAGTATGAGATTAGTTGATATTAGACATAAACACATGATATAAATAACTTGCGTGTGCTCTCATGCGATTTACTTCGTATATATTTTATTAAATTATGTTATACTTGAATGAAAATTTTAATTGCTAAAGTTGGTTATTTGCAAAACTTATACAAGTTTTTCATAAAATAACAAAACACAATTTTTATTTTTTTTACACAAAGAGACATGCAACAACAATTGCATTTTATGCTACTAAACATTGGAGAAGCTCTCGTACTATAAAATCTACATCTTCCTCTCATGAGTAGTCTAATCTGAGTTATATTATAAATGAGCCTCTGAAAGCGTAGCATCAATTCAAAAATAAATGAAAAAAGACAATCAGGCTTCCATATGACGCTGCTGAAAAAAAAACAATTGTACGAATTATAAATTATAATTGAGATGAAGCTGTCCTGTAATTATGACAGAAAGAGAGAAGAATTTTTTTAAATTATATTTTGATCGAGTTAGTCGAGTTAGTCTAGTAATTCAAGTCACATCTTTTTGTTTATTCTACAAGTCAAAACTCTCATGCTAAAGGATCATTAGAGGGAAGTGCTGCTCTCCGTGTAACTAACTTTCATTTCCATGTTGCGGTGTAGAGGCGCGAAGCATCCTTGAAGAGCCATGACTAATGCATGTCTCTGCGTGCACAGTATTAACAAGTTTGGATGTTATACTAGCGATAAAATTCCGAAAAAATTGAATCTTTTACGTTAGCTAGAACGCTTACTAGCAATGTTTCAGCATTGTCAGGATTCCGCTTGCTTCATATCAAGATGTGACTGCTATCTCAATTATAATTCATATAAAATTTTTTTGATTTTCTGCCCTAGCTACAGGACAGCCCGATTTCAATTTTGATTTGTACTTGATTTTTTTCTTCTACTAATTGAAGTTCTGATGTTTTTTCGAAATTTTCATTTACACTCGAACTCGAATTAGACATCTACTCCTTCCTTTAGACCCATCTATAGGCATATGTGCTAATATTTGAACGGATGGATATTTGTTCCCCAACGTTTGTTGGCTTTGTTTTTTTATTTCTGATAGAGAAGTCAATAGGTCCGCCTCTTCTTTTCCATGCACTGTGGTTACTAATTAGAACCATTTCAATGAATCACTATATATCTTCTTTCCAGATAGTTGGGAAGACTTTGTAGAACATTCGTTGTTGCTTCAGTTCAAGAGGCTAGGCACTAATTTTTACGAATTATGCTGTGAAAAATAATGACCTGATGAGGCAGCTTAAATTGCCGACATTTAGGACTTCTTTTTTGTAATCAACCATCGAACGTTATCTAGAAACGAATTACAGCATCGAATAGAGTAAGCAAAGCTCTACATTCTCATATAGTAAACTACTTTAATATAAATCTTTTTAGAAATGGAAATTTCGAAATTACAATATGACTACAAAGTGACTTTGTTCACAAGTACAGTTTTTGTGCAGTCGTACAACTTCTCTGATTCCTTGGTTGTATGGATAAAACTGATGACTATCAAACAATATTGATGATCATAGGTAAATAATGATATCTATGACGCTATCCCTTAATGTATACTTTGAAAGAGGGTTTGAAATAATTGATTGTTGCAGCCTCCAATAAATGTCAGAAAAGATGTACGACTGCACAAAAACTGTACCTGTGAATCTAATCTAATCTGCTTCATCTGTTATAAAATATGTGTAGCGTTTTCTGCTACTATGGGATTGACAAAGCGAAGAAAAAATCTTCGCGGTTTTATTACATGTAAAGAAATGTGGCTCACTTCACGTAGAAGTTACGAACCAATCAAATTACAGTCCCTACGTCACTGCAGTACAATCATCTATTGTTTCGTTCGTATGATTAACAGATAAAATATATAAATCAGGATGAATAATCGGATGCCATTGAGATGTTTCTATTTAGTTTATACGCAAATATCTGTCATGGCTTATGATGCCATAACCTGATAAAGTCAGAAAACATACAATGCAGAGAAATACTTTTTTCTTTTCGTTCGTATTTTTTTATGAGTTTCTTTTTTCGTTTTCTTTATTGCTGTTTTTTTTTCTTCGCATTCGCTTTAGAGACGTCTGATTGTACACCATCAGCTCTGCCATTGATTTCATCTTTTTCAGTCGAATAATTCCACATGTTAAATCATCTGAAAGAGGCGCTAGTTAATAAACTTGGTAGGAAAAAAAATCGAACTAGTCCGATTAACTTTTCATATTGTTATTTAGAAGAACAACGAGCACACGAACCTTATTGTGTAATTAAATGGGAAGATACAAGAAAAATCGAAGTTGTCGCACAAAAATATATTCGTTTACCACCATCACAAGATCCTGAAGATAAAGTTACTTATACGATTGATATTGATGGTGAAAGACGTTATGGAACAGTTATTGCTCATGGTAAAATAGATCAGTCTCTGAATTGTGAAACATGATCTAACAGGAGTATTGAAGTAAAAAGATAGAAATTCGAATACTCGCACCCTTACACATGCTCTAGCAAGGCTCCCCTTCCCACCTTCCACTTGACAGACTGCATAGCAACAAAGACTTGTTAGACTATATGAATTACTTTATTATTGCATTTCGAGAGCACTAAGTAAAAGAACGATGAAGAAATGTGCTTCACAATAGATGGTATAAAATAATGTTACTATAATTACCAAAAACAGCTACATCATGTTTCACATTTTAATACTTCAAGGATTCCGTTAGTAGTTTTTTTTACACAATCGAAAATTTTAATATCTTAAAAACAACAATATCATTGATAGATTTGTTTAAAGAAACAGAATGTCTTTTGTAAAAAAAAATCCTGAACGTCAATAGTTAAAAATAGATGAGAATATAAATAAAGAGGTATTCATTTATATGTATCGTGATGTACAAATGTAGACATGTTTAAGATGATGCACGGGTTGATAGATGAATAAAGAATCAATTACATATACCTATTGATAAATTGATCAATCAGTACATTAAATACTTGTGTTCTATTTCATTTTAATCATAATAATGACTGAAGTAAATAAATCGAACAAATTCGATGTCCTTTTCTCTGTAATGAGTTAACAAACATGAACTTAACAGAAAAAAAAACATATGACGTAGGCTTTTACGCACAATATAATAAATATATTTGAATAATATATTGGATGTATAAAATATACGAAGTAAAAATTTATGGCTTTGAGAGTATCAAACTTGTTTGCTCGAGTTTTTAAGAAGAATTAACTGTATCCTATAACAAATAGTGAAATATATTTCTCAATATTCGAACATTGAATCGATCTTGTTTGTTTAAAAGATCAGAGTCTAGAGAATGCCTAAACAAAGAAAAAACAAGTCGGAATAGATGATGCCATCAACGCATTAGATGTCGATTAGTTCCAAGGCAGCGAAAGAACTATTCAAACACATTGGATCATATCACAAGATCTGTTCTAATAGATCCGATAATGGAATCGAGCTGTCCAAAAAGTTTTGTTCTGTTTTGGGAACAGCATGTCAGTTACAGAACAAATGTTTTTTTATGCTCGAAAGTAACATTCCTAAAAACAACAAACATTGTTCGGACAACTTTATTTCAAGAGGTGAAGCGTTGAAACAGATTAGTTGCTATGCAAAGAATTGTTTGACCAATGCATGCTATCATAACTGAACTTGTCGACTTTTAAATCTTATCGATCAAATAATAAAAACGTAAAAATAACTATCACATTGTTTTATATTAAAATTTCATGATACTGAGTAGAGCTTGAAAATTCCTGATCTCAGGACATAAGCAAATTTCAATGAAATCGGCTGGAAAGATACAACTAAATCATCAAATTCGATAGGAAAATGTCAAGAATTGATAACGCTTTGAAGCAGCAATTTTGGATCGGAAAGTCTCAGAATTTTTTTGATAATATCTGAATATTTCCAATGTGAAAGAAGTAGAAGTTGAGCGAAAACCGACAGCTAAATTCGAAGACTTTTCGAATTTAAATATTGTCTCCAAGTTCTATCGAATTCTCGTAGTTGTCCATATGAATCAGCTTGTAGTTATTCACCTGAATTCAATGCTTTATTTTACAAACTGTTCTCTTTTAAACAATTAAAATTTAATATCAATACAATAAAATACAAATAAAATCAACTGCCAAAATATATTCTTTATCTATGGGTAGGCACAAAAGAATATTGTGAATCTATTCTACGCAAATCTTCACCTCATGACCCAAAACGTCAAGATGAAGGTAAATATAATATTCTTTTAAAGAATTTTTTAGCATTTCGTATTTCTTACACATTTTTCTTCAGGAAAAAGTTCCAAATATATCGATGATTTATTAATGATGAGTATTCTTGCAAAATTACTCAATAAAGCTAAATCCAATGATAATCATGGTGACGGTGATATTCATGATGCTACATGTGCTGTATGTGGAATGCAACCTATTTGTCAAGTTGATCGATATCGTTGTTTAGAATGTACATCACCAACTTATGATATATGTGGACGTTGTTTTGAAAAACGTCTTCAAACAGGAAAACATTTTACTGGTCATGCTATGATTCATTTCAAATTACCAAATGAAGCTTTAGGAATACAATTTAATAATATTGATAATGAAATTAATTTAAATAGATTAAGAAACTTAGATACATTGCAACATGAACAACATGATGGTATAAAATGTGATGGTGTTTGTCATCAAAAAAAATTTGTTGGTTTACGTTTTAAATGTGATACATGTCCAAATTATAATTTATGTGAAACATGTGCAATTAACAAACATGTTTGTACGAAAAATCATGAAAAAGATCATCCATTAATTTTAACTTCAAATAGAGTTATGCCAAAAATCAATCCAGATGATATTGATATGGGAGAAGTTTTAGGTAGAGGAGCATTTGGTAAGTCTTTCGATCGATAAATTAGAAATATATTTATTTATGTTAAAATATGTTTATAATAGGTTATGTATGTAAAGCAAATTGGCGACCAAAAAATCGTCAAGTTGCTTGTAAAGTAATTGAAATATCTGGTGGATCATCAGCATCAGATCCATTACACCGAAGTTTTCTTCTAGAATTAGCTGCTTATCGAGAATTATCAGGTCCATATATTCTACGAACATTTGCATATGCAAAACGTCATATACCAGCAAATCATAATCGTCCACCAAAAACTCAATTTATGATATTAATGGAATTAATGGGACGTGGAAGTTTACAAGGTCTTCTTGAAAGTCAACCACATCAATTGTCATTAAGACGTAAATTAACAATGTCTCGACAAATTGCATCAGGTATGAGACGTATTCATCAACATGGAATGATACATCGTGATATTCGACCTGATAATATTCTTGTTACTGATAATTATGTTGCTAAAATTGGTGATATGGGTATTGCTCGTGTTCTTGATCCAACTGGTAAACAAACTCAATTAGGTTGCATACAATTTATGCCACCAGAATTTTTTCGTGAAGCATCCGATGGACATGTTAAATATGATCAAAAATTAGATATTTATACATATGGACTTACATTAAATCAAATATTTACAGAAAAAATGCATGATTTTCGTTTCTCTTCACCCGTACCACGTGTTACAATAACTAAAGAAAGTCCAATTTTTTATGATGATATTATTTTAAGATGTTTAGATGAAGATTCAAAACGACGACCGACTGCTATTGAAATTGAAAAAACTTTGGAATTCTATGAAGAAGCTTTTTCGGAAACAATGAACTCAAATTCTTATACAAGAATGAATACACAACAAAAAGATAGAGCGTTTATTGAATTTTATGAAAATAATAAAATAAAGATGCAACATTTCGTTAAAGAAAAATTTCCTCAAGAATTCATTCGAGAAATTCGGATTGAATTTTCAAATAATTAAACAACAACAACAACAACAAAAACCAACGTCGGATGAACCGTCAAATGAATTCTGTCGACTTAATTAATTTTTTTTTATTTAATAAACATGATTCTTAATTAACTGACATATTTCGAACTTAGATTAATTTGATTCATCAGTAATAACTCTTCTGTTATTTTTAGTAATAGATTTTGATTGAATTAGAAAAAAGCAAAGACTTGTACTCAGAGATATATTTCCAAAATTTCCTGGGACTTCAGTTAATATTCAAATGTTTAGTATTAATTCTTGTCAGAATAATCCACCAAGTTTCAACTAAAACAACAAAAAACCTCTTGTGAAAAAATTCCTCATTTGAATTATGACCATATACCGGTCTATAGAATAAAATTTTTATTAAATGATCGTCAATTTTGAAGAAAGAATTATTTTATATGCAAACAAGAAAAGAAAAAGTGAAAAGGATTATATCAGCATAAAGAAATATTAGAACAATAATGTTAAAATAAATCACATCGAAATATTAATTAAATATCATATATCGAAAACGAATCAAACCGACTGATTGAAACTGAAGTCGAACCTAACTCGAAACGTATAATTTCCAATATAAAATCGATATTGTGGAATGTATGTGAATGAAATAAATTGAGAACAAATTTCGATTAATTTGTGTAATGATGCACATAGAATTACGTTTTTGTAATGCTAACTTTACTACACTTTCTTTTTGATAATTACACTCGTTGTTCTGGATGAAGACGAGTCAGCAGATGACAAGATAATTCATCATTATGTCATTTGAATTCGGCTTATGTTTTTATTTACTGTGTGTTCGTGTTCTTCTGGTGTATATTATTTCCAGTACGGATGCTACGACAGCGCGAAATCCTTCTACTACTGCTCATTTTTCAATACAATTAGAGCGTAACAGTGAAACGAACTGGAAATGAAAAATACTGGTTCATTTCGAACCCTATTCGATATCCGTAGTATATTTCTTTTGTACACTCTCTCCATTTTGCAACTTTTCTTTGGATATTTTTCATTGACACATAGTAGAGAAAAAATGTAACAATGTTGAAAAGAAGAATAATAGCGATCTGAAAAAAATCAAGCTGTAAATGGATAACTCAATACTGAGAGGATTACAATGTTCAATGAATAAAGAAGGTTATCGATTCAAGACAAGAAAATTGTAATCAAATATAAAGATATAAATTATGCTGTTCTTTGCTATTATACTTATGGTAAAAAATAATAATTATTCTAGATTTTTTTAGGTCTTGCAAAACAAATCTTCTCCATTGTACAAGTCTACATATCTTCCTTATAACCTCAACTAGAGTTAGAAAAATTTAGGATGATATTCAGCTAGTTTCAAGAGATTATATGCCTGACTTAGAGCATTTTAGGATTTTTAATCAACAAGAGCAAGAAAATTTTCTTGATAAATGTTGCTATGGTTCCTATGTAGAAGAAATGATATAATGTTTCGCTGTTTCTCAAGAAGAATTTATTATAAGAAGTGTTCATCTAACTTTGAAAAGTTGCCGCTGTTACAATAAGTATACAAAATATGTTTCAAAAATTATTTTTGCCATTATAACAAATTAATCTCGTACTTAGTCATTCCATTTTTAAGCATTACATTTGTGTAAGATAAAACTCTGGAAAAATTCGAATAAAGAAACGGCGTACTGGTGTAATTCTAAGCCGACAGAAGTACCAAAATCTATCAAGTGCAAACATATACTGAGGAATATACATGAGTATGAAGTATTCAAAATATAGTTCAGATATTTTTTTTGTAGAAAAATACAAGAAAAGATGATCATTTCATAAACAACTGTTTATAAAGGTTAAAAGCCAATAAACTGATTTTTTTATGCGAATATTAATAATCATACACTAATTTCGATTGTAACCTAGAAATATGTATTTTATCATCATTGTCGATGTTATTGTTGGACTCGAATAATTGTGCATTATTGTTATCTTTTTCGTTTGTTTCTATGAATGTGTATTGTATTATCTGCAAAGCATATACTTGGAATAAGTAGTATATCAACTCTATGTCTTCATTCCTGCCAATTTTCTTTTCTCTTCACTAATTTGTCAAAAACAACCAATCTGATTATTACAATTCTTCGATGATCGTAATACGGAGAAGTAAAATTAATGAAGAAAATCGGTATTCCATTTTCAATTAAGATGTTTGCTTTTATTATTTGCCTATTGAATCTTTTTTAAACGACTACGACACCTTTATAAAAGATTGATTATATTATATGTTCTATCTATGTAACGAAATCGATTACATCCTGATCCATGTTTGAAACTGATGATAATGAACTTGTAGCAACATCATCTCAATTGGTTGTTGTGAAAATTTTTTATCATTTAACTACGTACAAAATGTTTCAATATGGCATTATATGAAACATTTTCATTATATATAGAAAAGAAGATACAGTTGATTGCTTTAATGTCTCTGTAAAATTCGAACAATTTGATGGTCGACAGATTTTGATCAAGGTTGTTCAAACTCAAGTGAAATGTAATCAATTCTCTATCAACGAAAACAGAAAATTGTTGTCAGCTGTTGTACTGATCAAAATCGCTAAAATATAGTGCTAATACATGATTCAGCTGTGGCATTGTGGTTGAAATCGGCTTGCAGCTTACTCGATTCGAATTTTTCCACCGGTAAACCTATTTAAATTCTAACTTCTATAGAGACAGCCATTTTATTTGAAAACTTAAATGAATACTCAATCAAATAGAAAAAAATACTTAAACCCATTGAATTGCTGAAGAGTTATGCATAAGTTTTTCTTTTTCATTCGAACATCTGAAACATCTTGTATCGAGAATATAAGATAAATGAAATCAAAGATGATAATATTAATGCTATATTGTCCTTATGTTTATTTCAGATCGAAAAGAAATTGAATAAAATAAAAATTATTTTGAATGATTCAACGAATTTCACAAATATTTATTTACCACGAGAAAATAAATCACGAATTACTGGATCATTTTTACATCTAGAAAAAAACATGAACAAAAAATAAAATTATCGAACACTTTTTGTCTATAACATCATACCCCGTAATAAATTCTTCTTTACTTAATTTTTTATCACCACTAACATCAAGTTTTTTAATAATATCGTTTGCTCGTTTTTTCGGATCTCGTTCACCTTTGCGATCAGTTATACCAGCACGATCGTACTAAATATAAATACAACTTATCTTCAATAATAATAATAATAATCTAAAAATGAAACTAACTATAACTGATATAACATTAGCTAATTCTTTTTGATCAATTTTTCCATCATCTGATGTATCCCACCTATTAAAAAAAAATATTTTTAAATATAAAAAATTATTATTACAATTTAATAACTAACATGTCAAATGCGAAACCAAATTGTGATCCAACATCATTTAGACGACTCATTAGAACTATTACTACTAAAAGTTCATTAAAATCAATTGTTCCATCATTATCTCTATCAATCTTATCAAAAATTTCTCTAAATATTATCATAATATTAAATTGAAAACAAAACAACATATTATTAAATTTACTCGATTGGAATTTGTGTTGCTACATTCGGGTGGAATTTTCGATAATATTCAACAAATGCTTTTTTATCGAGGCGACCTGATGGATACTGGAGAAGAAAATCCTACATGAAAACAAAATATTTAAGTTAAACCTTTTCTAAGAAATGCAAATTAATTGACATACTGCATGCAATTGTCGAATTTCTACAAACAATCAAAACAAAAACAAGAAACACGTGGTTACATATCGATTATATACATTACCTTCCTCACTAACTTGAGCAGCTTCAACAAGTACAGCCATTTCTATATTTAGAAAATAAATCAATATTAGATATGGATAGATCTATATCAGAAAAAATATTAACCTTTTGCAGTAAATTCGTCGAAAGATAACGATTTTCTATGTCTCGACATTTTTCAAAAATTATAAAATGAAAAACCGATTGATGACTGGATACAAATGTTTTTTTCCTTTCCTTTTATGTTTGATTTACGTTGAATGATGTATAACAGTAGAGACGTACTATGAAAATATTGACGGGAACGAAAAATACCGTTCTCTATGATATATGTGAATAAAAAAAAAGAAAAATGCTCGTAGACCCAGATCAAGCAAGCGATAAACAAAAATTGGTTTGCATATATATTTGAGAGCGTTGACCCGAGTCATTGAGTCGTTGAATTTTATTTGTCTATTTTACTTTGATTAATATATGCTTTTGTCATGAAAAAATAAAAAAAACACAATCATATGGCATGTTCTTTATTTTGTTTTTTTTTGTTTTGCTATTCAAATGATGAATTATTAAAAAAAAATTGTTAAGGATCATTTCAAATAAAACATTGATGTAGTTATTTAGAATAAATAATCTATATCTTTATTTTTTTATCGTTACATTGTAACGATAGACTTGCTATCAAGCCGAACAAATGATTTAATTATATGATCCGCTTGTCAATAGAAAAACGATTGATGATCATGACCGACTCGACTATGTACACATAAAAATATTGTACATTTAATTGAATTGTTAAAACGTAGAACAAATTCTTTATTCTATTCATCCCTCCAAAAAAGCAATGAGAATATGTATGAATTTTTTTTTTTTGAAATACACAATTAGGCATATTGATAATTCTCTATTTTACAAGGTTTGATATTGTATATCATTGAATTAATAATAATAATTGTTTCATCTGTACAATATAATCAACGATGTACATTTTCTTCGGGTACTTGTAATTGGAATATAGGTCGACGATGGCAAATAAGAAATCTTGATGATGAAACAAATGATAAAGGTATAAAAAGAATTCTTATTTTTGTCTATTAAAAATATTTAATTTAAAAAAAAAAATATTTAGTTTTAATTGCTGTTGATGGAAGTCATATAGATAAAGAAATGGGTTTTACAGATATAATTGCATCATCATGGTTGTATTTAACATCATCATGTTCATTCAATATTCGATTAACATTTCAATTTAGTATTGAACATGAACAAGATCAAATAGAAGTTTTTCTTATAAAAAAAGATGGAATACAAATATTATCATTAGGTCAATGGAAAGCATTCAAATATGAAAATAGTAATACATCCGATGATATTGAATCATTATGGCAACAAGCAAATATAACATTTAAAGCAGCTGAAGAATTTCGTGTATAAAAATTTTACTTAAATATTAACAAAAAAAAAATATTAATGTTATTTAGTATTTTTTTTCTTTTTTCTTTCATTTAGATTGAAATTGAAATTCGTCATTTACCAGATAAGAAAAATGAATCAACAACTTGGTTTGCTATTGATGATATTCTTATTGAAAGTTGTCCAAATGGTTTGTTAAACAAATAATAATTGTATTTTAATCAAATAAATCTTTCTTCTCCTTTTTTTTTCTTTTTTATTTAGTTCGAACAACTAGTACATGTACAAATCAACAAACACTTCAAACAACACCATCATGGCCAATTCGTTCATATTTTAATCTAAGTAATTCTTCATTATTTCGTCGTTCATTTTTTCGTTTTCGTTGGAAATTTAATGATTCATCAATTGGTTCTCCAACAGAAGAATCATCACCTCCACGTTTAACACTTTTGACATTTATACTTTATATGTTATGTGCATTAGTTGGATTATCATTATTAATTATTTTACTTGCTATTATTATATTTACTTATCGTAAATATTGTCTACCATCACGAACATCATCAACACCAATGATTAATCATCGATATCGATCAAGTCGAAAGAAGAAACATAATCATATAGGTTTACAACATAATAGTTATATTGATCAAGATGCTCGAACAGAAAAGACTATGATAACAACTATTCGGCAATGTTATTAAAGACAATTAACGGAGAACGAACATGATATATTTTTAAAAAATAACTATATACACAAAAGAAAAACGAAATGTTTTTTTTTTGTGTTTAAAAATCTATTGTTTGAGGTGTTACTTTTGATGCATCGAGATTTTGATGTACTTGAATTATATTTCGACCACGCCATGGTCGATCAAGTTGAACAAGAATATAATCATAGACATATTTATTTGATATATTCTATAATAAGAGAAAAACAAAAATAATTATTTATCAGAATAATTAGAAGAATATTAATCAAATACCTTTTGAACTTTAACACCAACAACACCAGATCGTTCTTTACCCGTTAAATAAAATGCAAGTGTCATGCCACGATGACCCTTTTCGTCAAACATTTTAGCCCTTGAAGAATAAATTTTAAAAAAGTTTAGTCTAACAATAAGAATATGATACATTACTGAAGAAAGATCTTTTAGATAGATTTACAACTGCTATAGTTTTTTTCCTTAATGATACTGATCTAAATGGTGAGACTGATCGATATACTCGGTATGAAATTATTCTGCACATTTCTGATCTGATAAAAGTCAAATTAATCTCTAAATCAGTCGTATCGATTCATTAATCACTATATTAATGATGTAAGAGTTATGTTCATTGTGTTATATCTTCTATTTATGAGCAATATATACTATAAATAGTAGAAAATACAAATAAATTTAAGACCTATTATTATGATAAATAATTAACTAGTGATCGGAAAGTTTTACGACAAAATGTTTATTTATTTTTGGCTTGCTTGGAAGTGTTTCCGACGAATCAATAGCTATGAGTTAGGATACTCTGTTCGAATATCGACTTACAAATTTAGTCGTAATTTTCGTTCGAGATTACTGAAATAATCTTTGACAAGGCCAAAACATTAGTTTGGACGAAACTTGTGGGCCGTCGCTTGTTATGAGCACGCTTGTTCGCTATGACCCATTTGAAAGCGTCTCAGACGAGTCAAAAACTCTAGATTGCTTTTTTTTAATAAGATGGGCATAGAAATTTCATGTCTATTTTTTTATTCACGAGTAGCACTCGAACATGATAAAAATTGTTCGAGTTGGTCGTTGTGTAGAGCGGCCTCATCTCTGGAAAATTTCATCTTGATCTAAGTAGTTTTTATCTAAGTGAGATTACACACATTTTTCACCAGCTCCTTTCAGCATAAAAAAGTCGCTGATTTTTCAAAAAAGTAGTATCTAACAACAACGAATATTGGAATGCCTTGTCGAAAGACAAAGAACAATGTATTTATTAGGGTAGCTCCTAATCTATAAACTGATATATAAATAAAGATCACAATAGTGAAAATACAAAAATATATAAAAAAACTTTCCCTTCACACGTTTTTTTTTGAGTTTTCCACAGCTTATTTCATTACTAACAAATAAAAACTGAGACAAAATCTCTAAATCTATATGCGCAATACTTTCTAGTGAATTAAAATTAAACAAATATCTTGTCAAACAACTTTTCGATCAGCCACTATTTGATTTTGTTTCAATGACATGATATTACAGCGAATTAAAAAATATGTCGAATATATTAAAATGATTTTTTTGTACTGAATATAAAAGTTTAGTACATGTTTCATCACAAAAGATAGTCTTCATAATCAATGAAAAAAATTGTTTCATTTGCAAATAAAAAACTTCTATAATGTTTCAAACTCAAGCCTGTTGGTAAAAAGTTTCATAGCAGTTTTTGATGAAAAATATGTTTTATCTAAATGCTACAGCACACCGGATATGGAGGTAATTAACTTAATCCTTGTTACGATAAGTATTTGTTTCACTATCATGTTAAATTCTATTTTTAGAAAAAGTCTTTACCGAACATTATTGATACGCATTGAACCAATTTGTGGTGTTGTATGAACAAGAACGGGTGTACCTAATGCATCTTGTACCTATAAAATATATCATTAAATCTAAAACTTTCTTGGTTGATATATAATTTACTTCACTATTAGCTAAACACATTTTTGATGCTTCTTTATAAATTCCATTCGGTGTTTCTCTTGAATAGAGTTCATGTAAAACTAAATAACATAAACCACCTAATGTTGCAATACCAGCAATAACAATAAGAGAATAACCAGTATCTTTAGCAGCTTGTTGAGCTATAATAAAGAATTTTAATATGAAAAGTTTTCAAAAGACAAAACAAAACTTTCTACCTTTTTCTTTAAATGTTGCTACTTCAATTTGATTATCTCTTGTCGATTGAACAAGAGTCTGATTGTCTTGTGATTTAGAAGTTTTTTTTTCTTGTCCTGTTGTTGTTGCTAATTGTCGTTCATTAATAACAACAATAGTACGAAATAGAGATGAACGCCATTGATTATGACATTGTTTAATAATGAGACGAACCGAAGGAAGGATCATCTTTAAAAAAAACAACAAATAACTGTAATGATTGATCTCATTTATAAATTTTTGCTTTGTTTTAATCATAGAATAAAAATCAACATACAAAGCGTGAAATGTTTTCAAAAAGAAAAAGAAAAATATAATCACAACAAAATATGTTTATAAAAATAATTAACATGGACAAAACAAAAGGAATCAATGAAGAGTATTGCACACTGTTTATTGTTCACAACATACATATATATATAATAGATAATCAAGTTTGATGTGCTTGTTGTTCAATAGATATGTAAAAAATTAAACATTCACTTATTTAACTCATTCGTTGATAGTCATTACCATTCTCTTTCTCTTTAAGAAGACCTATACATAAAAAAAAATTTCATGAAATATTATTTAAAAAATATGTTAGCACAATCTCTGTGGGATTCAAATGTGAAACACAATATAACTGTTATTCGCATCTTCAACGAGAGAATTATCAACGTGACTGTCACAGTCTACGAAGGGGAAGGTATAGTGAGCATCTAGACAAACATTAGGTTAAAAATGAAAATTACACTTTTTTAAGATTTAAATATGGAAAAATATAGTTTGTCTAATAGTATAAATAACCTTGTTACAACATTAAAAAGAACCTGAGAAACCAGTTGCTCAAAAACTAATCTGAAAATTATGATGTCACCGAGAAAATTCATATTTGACGAAATTAAACTATTTGGCAGACAAATTAAGTACATTTTCTGAATGTCTAAGCTAAGATCTATACTATGGGACAAAACATTTTTTAATTTGCATGTTTAACGTCTGAGAAAAGTAGTAATATTCTTTTCTACAATGTCACTCGAACGGCTAGTTCCATAAGATAAGTTATACACCCACATCCAACCTTTAAATTTTCTCAAGATGTCCTTATATTTATTGTCCCTAATCCTTGTTAGTCTAAACATTGTGGAACTGCATAGCGAATTTCCAAAAAAAAACTTATTTTTCAATTTTTTTAGTTTTGATAAGATATTTCATCGACAAAAATAATATATTCGAGATCAACACTCTCAAACATTTTTCATCAAAAAACCTTTTTTCCTCAAAAAATGTTTTTTCTGCATCATGTTCAATCTTTTTTTGAGTAAAGAAAGTCACATGTTTGTCTGTCGTATGGAAAATGCACACTGTGGGAAAGTATCCAAACTTCTATCCTATATATTTCAAGACTTGTATCAGACTGTGTGTCACAAAAGATTGATACATACCATATTTCATACGAATTTGATCAGCTACTCGATTTCGTTCAGTTGATCTAATGAATCATTCACATGAGCTTTTATTGAATAGCATACTTCAACTACTTACCGAACTTCAGCTGCAGCTCGTCGTTCTTCCATTCGTTGATCATTTTCATTTTGTCTTTTTATGTCTCTACAAATATATATATTGAAAAGAAAGAGAACTTTTTTAATTATTCATATATTTTTTAATCAACTAACGATAATATTGAACGTTGTTTACATTTTCTACAAATACACCATATAATAATCAATACAATAATTAAAACAACACCACCAACTGAACCAAGAATAATAATCCATGTTTTAACAGTAGCTAAAATAGATTTTTTTTCGATATATGATAATACATAAAACGATTTTATTCTATTTTATATACCTATACATGTTACTGTTTGTAAATCAGACGTTGAACAAGGAGTTGTTTGTCCAAGTTTATATGGAAAACATTGCTTATTATTTTTACAATAAGCACAACCTGATATATTCAAACATGATTTACAGTCTTTGTTTGATTGAGTGTCACATGTATCAGCTGAAGTGCTAAAGGCAAAGTTGATAAAAATAATGATGCTAACAAAAATAATATATGATTTTATCATCTGAAATAAAGAAAAAAAAATGATTCATTAATTTATTTAAGAAAACAATTATTTAGTTTCTAGATTAAACTATTAAAACTATATTTTTTTGTTATTTTTGTTTTAATCATGAGGATAATCAATATGTGTAAGTAAAGGTGAAATTTGTTCAGCCAATTCTTTTGTTGCTGCACATAAAATACGACGATGAATGAGATTTAATGGAGCACCTGACAAAATAATATATATATATATAGTTGACATATTAATTGATTAATTAGCTTTACCTGACGGATCGCATGTGTAAGCACCAGCTTCTCGAGCTATTAAATCACCGGCAGCTATTAAAAGAATAGAAGTCATGATAAGTAAAAAACAAAAAAAAGTAAGAATCTTATTTTTTCTTCACAGACGTAATCAAGTGAATTGCAATTAAGAAGTCTTAGTCGAAGGAATTATAAATTCATTACTCAAGAATGAACTAAATGTTCTGACAGATGAGGAATTTATTTTGATTTACTACACGTACCTCATTACTCGGATTACACGTTAACGTTCACAACTTGACACTCAATCCGGTCAGCAATTAAAGAGATCTTAATGTTTCAAAATATTTTACTTTTTTAAACTGCTAATTTATATCAAATCATAGGTATCACAACTGATTTGCTCATGATAGAGTAATTTATAGTACTAGAGAACACGTCACAAAATTGCATAGCAATATTATTTTACTAAAACGGTTCATTTTTTTTTATGAAAGCTCATCTACATATGATGATGAAGCACACAGCGAAGTAACGTTTGGTATCAACACTATGTTTCATGTCAGCGTCATCAGCAACAGATAAACATATCCTTTGTACAATTGATCAAATTTTAAGAGTGGAAAGATATCAGGTGAATCCTGAATTGCTTGTGTTTTTTTATCGATGTGAACAGTTCATTTGAAAATCTGTTCGAGTATATTGACTTTGAGATGTTGATCCCCGTTATAGTGGTATCATGACAATACTTTTTTTTGCTTACCATAATCCCAAATATGCACACCATATTCAACATAAGCATCACAAGCACCTTCAGCTACTAAACATAAATTCATAGCTGCACTACCTATTGCTCGAATACTAAAACAAAAATGAATTTTAACTTCTCGTTTTTCTTCTCTTGTTTATTTTTACCTATGAACTTTTGCAATAAGAACTTGTAAATTTTTACATTTTACTTTAAGAATATCAGCATCTCGACTTGGACCATATTCACCAAGTATTTGAGATAAAGAAAGACCTATAAAAAAAAACATGCAAAATGAACTATTCTAATGGATAGATTCCATGCAAAACTATTCAAGGGTATAACAGGATTAGGAAAACTTCTTTTCTTTTTAACGTATACCTTTATATGTTTTTAGTTTTTAACTAGAAAATTATATTTAAAAAACAAATTAGATGTTCTTTTGGCTGAACAAAAGAAAAACTACTAACTTGTTTGTTTAGAACAATTAATAGGTCGACCATTTTTAAATGCACCTTTGCCATGAACAGCTGAATAAAGATCATTCATAATAGGATTATAAATTACACCAACAACTACTTGTTTATTAATAGCAAGTGCAACAGAAATAGTAATAAATGGTAATCTAATAATATTAGAAAAACAAAAGACAACAAAATTTCGACTTATGATTAGTTTTTTTTACCCATGTACAAAATTAGTTGTACCATCAATTGGATCAATAATCCATGTTGGATCATCACTAAACGATGTTTTAATTCCACTAGCAGTAGATTCTTCTCCAATAAATCTAAAATTAGTTTAGGAAAAAAAACCAAAAGAAAATTATTTTCATATAATTATTTACGAACTTATGTGTAGGAAATTTTTCTCGTAAGTTTTTTATTAAAAGTTCTTCTACACGTTGATCGAATTCTGTAACAAGATCAGCTGCACCTTCTTTAGTTTCAACTCGTTTTGTTATTGAAAAACCTTCACATACAACCTATATAAAATAATTTTATCTATTCTTTTCCATTATGTTATGTTTCTTTTTAGTCAAATAACGCGATATTGTTGACTCATTGTTATGAAATGAAAAGAATATTTTATACAGGAATTTTTTTTAATGAGTTTCTATAGACAAATAAAAGGAAAAACGTACTTTGCCAGCCAAAGATATGAGATTAAGTATAGTTTTATAATAAATATCAATCTCTTTTTCAGTCATCTAAAACATAACAAAACAAATAAAATATCAAAAAAAAAAAAACAAAGGCAACGGGACACAATGTCAACTGTTACACGTATCTTGATAAACACATGCTGGAAGGAAGTATTTTTCTCTTTCACATAGCAGATAATTTATATTTGTTATACATGCATAAAAATGAAAAGTAAAACTCTTGTGTAATTTTGTAATATCGATAGGAACATCTTGTAAGGCGATAATAAAGTATTGTTTCACCAAAAAAAAATGACAAAAAATGCTTTAGTTTCTTTTTCCTTATCTCATTTTATTTATAAATGTATGACAAATATATTCGAAAAAAGGATGAAACATTTCCTTGTAGTTCATTTTTTGATGAGATTTAAAAGATTAACATTGTATCCCAATCACTTGGATATTATATTCTCTATATATTCAACAAGTTTCTTTTTTTTTTTATTCATGAGTAGTTTTAACAATTAGTTTTAATTTAACTTCACAACGAAATGTTGTTTTTAGAGATTTTTCAGCTTCAATACTGATTAATTTAATTGCTTCACCATGATTTTTTAATAATACACTCTAAAAATAAATTAGAATTAAAATTTAAAACAAAAACAAAAAAAATTCTACATACAACATCACGTTTCAATTGTTTAGCTCGAGGATATATTAGAAATGTTATATTGAGAACATCATTTTCATCTATTTCCCATCGTTCATTTGTCTATCGAAAAAAAAACAAAAAAATTCAAAATATTAATAAAATTAATAATAAAAACTAAGTAAATCATAGTCAAGAAAGAAAAGAATCTAACATTTTTAATATTTCAAAAATGATCGATTCAAATATTCATTGAAAAGCATTTCTATAATTAAAAATGAAATTGTAATTTACCATAAGATAAGTATAAGGAATTTCTTCTGGTAAATATTCTAACATTTTTTCACGTATACACATTTCTGCTATTTCTTGTGGATATTGATCTGTAACAAAATTTCGATGAAATATCCATGGTGCTGATTTTGTACGTGAGAAAAGATATTTCTAAACAAAAAAACAAAAATTTTTCTTTGAAATAAAAACCAAACAAAACCTAACTCGAATAGCTCCTATGCCTTGATTTTTTTTAGCTGAAATCATAAAAACTTGATTAAAATATGGCCATGTTGAACGATCTCTTGTAAATAAACGAATTTGTGATAATTTTTTATAATATAAATGCCAATTTGTTGTTTCCATTAGATCTTTTTTAAATTCAAATGGACTAATATCATTCATTGATTTATATGGTATATGAGAAGATACATTATCTGATAATTGTTCTAATGTTAAACCATTTTCTTCATGTTGAGATATTAATTCTTTAACTTGATTTTCTTCTAAATCAAGATTAACATTTTCTAATTGAATATTTAATAATTTTTTTTCATATTCTTTCATATCAGTTAATAGACGTTCTTTTTGAATATCATTTTCTGTTTTAGGTAATGGTATATTCATTTCATGAGCTGTTTTAAGAAATAAACGTTCCATATCAAGTTCACCATTACGATGATATGGTGAATCAAGACGATATGGAATACCATTAAGTGAACCATCTGTAAGAACAGTTGTAACATCAAGTAACATACGTTTACGTTTAATAGAGTCAACCTTAAAGTTTTTTTTTGTTTTTTTTTATATTGAAAATATAAAACATATGTTTGTTTTTTACTTTATTAAGAATAAGAATAGCTTCTTTATCAGGATGAGCATAGAGACATTTGAGTATTTCTTCGTCGAGTTTAAAACGAAGCCAATGATTAGAAACATCATGTACAACACAAACTAATAGAAACAATTATTTAATAAAAAGAAAAAACAAGAATTCGCTTTTTAACATACTCAAATTAGCATCCCATAAACATGAATGAGGATCGAGAATCATTGATTTTTCAAGATTATGTCTATAAAAAACAAATAATATAATATCATTACACATAAGTCATTTTAAAATTGATTTGTATTTATAAATATACCGTTTTTTTCTCCATGGCGCAATAAAACCAGGTGTATCAAGAAAAACCTTTAGTATTCGAAAATAAAAATTTATTCATTTAAGAAAACTTCTTACAATTTGTTTATTAGCATCAGTCAATACTCCTGTAGTTCGATGTCGAGTTGTGTGTGGTCGTTTGGATACAGATGAAATCTAAATTGTCAAAAATAATATTTCAGAATAATTATTTTGAAAAAACTTTAGACTTGTATTATCGATAGTTTTTTTTTTTTTTTGATTTATTAAACTTACTCTCCAACCCATGAGACGATTAACAAATGTACTTTTACCAGCATTAGGTGCTCCAATAATAGCTACTTTGAGTAGTTCAGAATCAACAGGCATATCCGGACGAAGTAATGAAATAGCAGTATGTTCAGCTAAATATAAAAATTATTTTCATAATTTTCATGTAAAATTAATAAACAACCTGCTCTATCTCTAACACATACCACTAGTTCGTCCAATTAATGGTTTACTTAAATCAAATTTAGATAGAGGTATAATTTTTTCATTTGGATCAGATTCAATATGAATCGTCCGAGTGAATATTATTGATCGTACATGTCGACAAGTAAAGCAAGAGATTCGATGTAATGTTATCATTGTTGATTATGAATACAGTAATATCTAAAAACAGACAGTATATAGTTTGAAGAGCTACTGCACTTATATAAGTAAAAGTTTTATCGTTTTTTTTTTCTAACAGTCAATTCAATGATTCACAAGTTTCGTTTTGGCTTTATCAATGTTCTTCTCAGAAGACATAAGGTTAGATGGCGCTGACAGACAGATTTGCTTTGAAAGATAAAATCAAAAAAATATTAAAAAAGTGAATGTATTAGTTATTAGCTATTGTAGATATTTTCTTTGGAGATATCAATAATCTGTTTATAATAATATATTTTTTTCGAGTTGTTATTCATTCAAAATAATGACTTATTCATTATTATACTTAGTTTGAAAACATTTATTTTCGTTTAAATCGTCATTAATTGATACAATAAGATATCGATATTAACATATTTCAAGCATGGCTAACGAATAAAATTAAGCAAGAAATATGGTGTTCTAACTTGTTTCAACAGCTGTCATTACTATAATTCTATTGCAGATGAGTTTGAATTGAAACTGATTTAGTTGTTCACAATTACGAATAGAAGTAGATAAACAGATTACATTTTGCATAATACTACAAATGATTCATGTTGTTTAATGATGTTATCTAGTAGTTATGGAGACTATAAGCATGTAAAACAAAACTGATTTGTATATTACTTTAAAATTATCTTCTTTACAAAAAGAAACGATTAACTTGAGGATTATTGAATATAATCAAGATTCAATACCAATAGTTAGTTGTTTATCTCAATTTCAAAAACCTTACACAATGATCACATATACCAAAGGATGATTTCCTACAGAGAATGTTTAGTAAATAAAACTTGATGTTAAATGAAGATAAGAAATTGTCTTGATATTATCGGACCATAGGTAATAATAAAATTTGTGCGTGCGGATGCGTAATATGATGAATGTATGGATGAGGCGAAGATCCAGATTCTTACACTCACTTTCTCAAGATAGTTATACTTAAAAATATTCGTTGCATCGAGCACGACACCAAGCAGAAGTATATTTTGTTTTTTATTGTTTGATAGATAAAAATAATTTTCAACAGATACTTGCGCTCATCATTTTGATCTGAAAGTGTCATATCTATAATCAGTACTTCTTTGATGTTTTCTCAATTATATTTATAGAAAATTACAGACACCACGAGTAAGAAACAAGTAATGACGCATTTATATCCGATAGTAAAGAAATGTAATCAGGTTTTTTGAAAAAAAAATGCGAAATTAAATAATTCATCTTATTATCGTTCGTTCATATTAGGCTTCCAGTCCGTGAATATTTGACAAACGGAATTCGATTTATTGTTTGTCAGTAGAAAATGTACTAATTTATGTAAGTGACCTTATGTAAAAATGACTCGTTTTATAGGCTATTTTTAGCTATACAAATGCAATTCTATGAGTCATTTCTTAAGGATTAATAATCATATTCAAAAGAAAAACAAATAAATATTATATTACATTTTGTTCCAATTGTCGTCAAATTGCTTCTATACTTTTTATGACACAGTTAGTAACTAATACAAACCCTCTATTTATGGTATAATTGACGATCTGTTGCCACATGTTACTATTACAGTGTTAGAATTATGCTATTGAAAGAAACTAGTTTTCCATTTTTTTCTCAGAATCTTATTGAGTATCATTAAAACTCAAAACTGATTATATCTTCAAGTCTCAATATTACACTTTGTTTTGTTTTTCGAATAGAGATTTCATTACATACCATAAATTAGGGAGTAATTGATTTAATAATCAAATAAAATAATTGTTGACTTCTTAGCTCGATCTATTTTCTTATGGTATATTTATTGTCAAGAACAGATTGAATCATCATTAAGAAATTAATAATAATTTAATAAAAATTGTATGAATTAGTTTCTTAAAAAAGAAAAATTTTTTTTTGATGAAATTTATACAAAAGAAAAACTAAACAAAAAACAAAACGTCTATTTGATATATTCATATGATAAATCACTGGGTGGATATTCTGACACTGTACTTGGATTAGCATCATTCGACTCATCTTGTTCAACACTTTCAGATACATGTGATGGTGCAAGTGTTTCCATTAATGAACGAAAACGTGTATCACGACAAGCATTACGTTGAACAATACGATTTTCACGTTGTTGCAAAGCACATAATAATTGACAATCAAGAGGCGTTCTACGTAAATCAATTGTCTGTGCAAGTGTTCGATAATCAGCTAAACAATCAACTTGAACAATAAATGCATCATCACGATCAAGACTTCGTAAAAGACTTTCAATTTCATCGGAACGAAGTTTTCGTGATGCTGATCGTGTACTTGCTCTTGTTATTGTACTAGAAGTTTTTGGTCGTTGACGACGACTTGTTGGTGGTGATAGAGTTGATGATTCAAATGTTCTTAGAGCAGCTTCATCGAATACATTTGTAAAAGGTTGATGAGTAGCCATACTAGTCGTTGGACGTTTTTTTATCTGAGCATCTTGACGATCTTTTCCAGGTTGATAAGATGATCGAGGATAAGCTGATTGAGCACGATTTACCAATATAGTACTCATATTTTTTTTAATTTGTTCTTGATAAGGTTGAAAAAAAAAATGTACTGCCTGTTTTTGAGCAACAACAGTTGGCAATTGAAGGTATAAAAATATTTCTTTTTTTTTTTAAATTTCACTTCTAAATTGTAAACAGAAGCAGAAAAAGAAAATATTTAATTCTTCTTTTTCTCTTGATTGAGTCTTGCTGAATGACGTACTTACTTGTAGTGATGAGAGATGATGATTTCAATAGGTAGCATAGGTAAAAGAAAAAAAAAGATCAAACAAAATCAACTTTTTTTTATTCATCATTGTGTAAGATTCAAACATCAGTCTTTTGTTTGTTTTTTCTCTCGTTTGCATGCCACCACCTACGGGTCGGACTCTGTTTTATCCGATACTATCAATAGCAACCATTTTTTTTCTCTTATATTTTAATTTTTTCTTTCTTCTTATTCTTATAATTAAAAATTGTCAGCAACGAACTCTCTCACAATTCTTTTTCTTCCTCTTCAATATACTCATTTTGTGTCCAAATGAAACCATCGAGTAGCAGACATTGTACGTAGACACATCATTATCGAAATGATCTCAAAAAAGCAAGCTGATTGTTTCAAGTGTCTATGACGGTGTTTTTTTTTAATTTTTTTTTTTCTTTTTCGGTTTTTTTTTCTTATTTAACAACAGTCGTTAAAACCTAGATGACGATTGTTTATATTATTATCGTTACTATTGTGTCGATCAGTCATTAAATACAATAGACGATAGAAAGTTTAATACAACAAAAAGAAAACTGAACCCTTGATACTCATATTGAAAATGAAAATATTAAGAATTACGCATAGAATTTTTATAATTCAATATTTGTAAAATAAAAGCACGACAAACAGTAAAAATAATTTATTTATAAACTAATTTTATGAGATTGTTTGTTGTTGTTCTTGTTATCGATTTAAAATTCGACTAAAGAAATATCAAGTATACAAAAAATCGATCGACATGATGGACATGGACATGTTGATTGAAGCCATGTATCAGGTCTTGTTTGATCTTGTCTACTAGCAAACCACTTACCCAAACATTCAAGACACCACATTGGACGACAGAAACATGTTTGACATCGACCATTGTTTGGTGCATCACAATTTTTAACTAATTTAACATTAGCATTCGTTTGTAAACAACCAATACATGTATCCAAATCCTAAAAAGAAAAAAAAAAATTAAAATGATTAAAATACACAACGAAAAAGAAATTTCTTAATACTCGTTGATTTAGTGGTAATCGATATTTTGGATTTTGCATAACATGTTGTCGAAAATCTTCCACAAATAGATCACTTAGAGATTGACGTACAACAATATTTTTGACATTTTCAATATTTGCTTGAAGTTTACCTCGTAAATCATCATATTCACTTGCTTTTAATCTAAATTTAGTTATCAAAAATTTAAAGTACTTGCCAAAGAAAATATAATTTGCTTCATTTAGTTAAAATACTAATCGATTTATGGACTTTAGTTGTTACAATTATAGGAATAATTGTTTTGTAAAAAGAAAATTAATTAGTCAAATTATAATGAAAGTTTCTTTTTTGTTGAAACTCAATAGTTACTTTGTTCGACACAGTTAACCATGTAGAAATTTTTCTATCGATGCTAAATGATGTAATATTTCATTATTAAATACAGAGAATAACAATAAATAACGAATTCATCAGTATAAATGAATAATTCAGTATTTCTACAATATCTCTGTTAATTTTAATAGCTATAGACTAAATATTATTCTAACAGCATTCGAACACAAATATACATAATGATTCATGTTATCATTTCACTAATAAAATGCTGTTCAAACGCTTGAAAGTACTATCTTTGATATAATCAAGTGTGCGCTGTTTGGTGACATACTTGTTTAGACAATACGTCCAAATCTATCATATCGGATCTTCTTTGCTTGAAATAAATCGAAAAGAGAAAGCATTTATTCTGAATTAAGTCGATTTCTACAAGCTCACTCAGTAGCTTTTGAAAAAAAATAAACTTTTCTCGGCAAAAAAGAATTCAAGGTTGAGTCACATAAATATTTCAAAGATTTAATATACTACGATGCAAAAACATTTTTTTTTTGTAAGAAGCTAAAAAAACTAAAGCTTACTTTGTGTGATAGAAGTTCGTTATAAAAATCAGTGAACCTATTTATACAATAGAGCTTTTCAAGCTCTGCGAATCTGTTAGTTTCACTTTCCTATTCTTCAACATGAAAACGCATTAACCAAAGATGACGCAGTTTTGTGCTTGAAAGTTGTTAGAGAATAAGAGTTTATAGTATTTGTACAATAGCTGCTGTGCTTTCACTTCCTTGGTATACATATATATATAGTTGTGTAGAGAATTGAATGTTGAGTCTTTTAAGATGAAACTTACGAGTGAATCTCTCCAGGTTTTAAAGCACTTTTCGATCGAGACAATGTTCGTTTGACACGTGCTCCAGAGTAATAGGAAATGTCTAGAATGTTTTTTGCATCTTTGAGAAAAAAATAATAGAAAATCTAAAATTTGCACAATTAACTAATCTCATGAAGAACTTTGGTTGTGCAAAATGAAAAGTCGATTATTCACGTGACCAGAGTTTTTTGTTGAAAAATCCAGTAAGATTTCTATATCTGGAGAACGAAGGTCCAGAAAACCGAACCATTCTAGACTTTTCTATTAGACATTAGTATTCAGCAGATGAATGTCGTCTCGATCGAGAAGTGATTTGACATTTGGAGAAGCTCTTTCATTAGTCCATAGTTATTAAAACCGACAGAGACATTGATAGAATTTTGAGAGACTCATTTTTTTCACCCAATTGTTATATACCGATACTTATTAGAACAGAGAAATCAGATATAAATGATTAAAGTACAGACTTCGAAATTTTTGTTTATTTATCTTATCTTACCTAATATAAAATGGTTGTATTCTTGAATCATAACTTTTAATGACTATATTAAGATATTGCGTAGATAATAATACTTCTTCATTTGTTTCTTGTAAATGTATATCATGTGCATCAACTAATTCGACACGTACATTTGATTGTTGTGCTATATTAACATGATACATTGAACATTTTAATATCCATGAATCAAGTACATAACATCGAACATTTGATGTTGCTGTTCCACACGTAAATTTATCAAATCGACGAAATTCAGTATTTATTGATGATTCAACTGTATGCCATGTTTGTTCTTGTTGTTGATTATTGGTTTGAATAAATAAACGTAATTGTCGAACAATTGGATGCATATAACAATCATTTAGATGCCATCGTAAAACAATTAATGATGTTATAATGGGAATAAGAACACAACTATATAAAATCAATTGAAATATCGTTGGCGTTTGAGTAAAGAGATTAATACAAGCATTAATAAAACCTAATGACCAATCACAATAATAGAGTAATAGAAATACATAACCCAATGGAAGAAAACTCTGAACCAGACATTTAATTGATATACGTTTTATATGATATCGTATAAAAGATATTTCTTCATTTTCAGCAAGAAAATAAGAAAAAATATTTTCTATTGAAAGTCCAGCTGATATAAGTTCACTTGGTGGTAAAATAATAATAAATACAATAATAATATAAAGAAATGTTATTATAGAAAGTTCTGATGCACTAATATTATCTAAAAACCGGTATGACATGACAAAATTTATCTACAAAAAGAAAAATCACAAGAAATCCAACAGAATTTAAAAAAAAAAAATAAAACATCAATATAAATCACAAGAAAAGTCAATGTTTCGAAACATATTTATCTTAATAAATTTTAATTAACTGTTCATTTGTTACCGGTTGATGTGTTGTTGGACATTGATGATAACGTGTAACGTAATCACTAATACATGTATAACAATAAACATAACCTGAACCAAGTACTGCTGTTGGAACATTACATGGTTGTCGACAAAGAGGACATTGACGTTTGCCAATTGTTGATTGTGTTCGAACAGAAGTGGGTAATGGTGGATTAATATTAGCATTAATAGAATTTTTCTTTGAACCATTTGTATTATTCCACCATTCAATAAATTGAACAAGAAATAAACCACTTGATATAATTTGACTGACTATGGAAAAAAATCGACTAGCATTTGTTGATGGTGAGATGACGGGTGATGGGTCTTTAGCATAGGTTAATTTAACACCGGCTAATTGAAGTTCTGGACTATAATATTCAATACGACCAAAAGCATAACCTATTCGATAAAGCCAACAAACACCTTCGATAAAAACCTTTTTGAGAAAGGAAAAAAAATAAAAAGCAAAAACAAAAATGTTAATTCTGTATTTTTTAAATGATTTATTGAAAAGATGATATTTACTTGAATTTTAGGTAAAATTTGAAGTATAATATAGAATCTAGTTTGACGATTATTATTATTCGTAGACATTTGTTCATTTAATGAATCAAGTTTTAGTTTAACATAAGGTATAAATACAGAAAATATCAGTGAACGTAATCGATGATTTGCTGTTCGTTTTAATCCATAAAAATGTTCACCGATTAGAGCAGAATAGAAATGTAAATAAAGCCATTGAACAATACTTTCAATAAGTAATATAAATTCATCTTTGTATTTATAAAGAATTCGTAATGCATTCGATAATGGACGAATTTCATGTAAAAATTTAAAAATTTGTCGAAGACAAGGCCGAATTAAATCAGTTAAACGTTCTTGAGCAAGTAATTCGAATACACTTGGTAGAGGTGATGAAACTACACTTGAAGATGTGAAATTCAATGTTGACTGAATATTTGATGATGACATACTGATCGAATAAATAAAATCTCAGAATTTATTCGTCTATTTCCTACCTGCGAACACGATAGTTCAGTTGGTTGGTAGATATGTCAATATGAGATTTGCTACTTGATTTCATTTGCTATTGTCTTTTTCATTCAATAATAGAAAATGTAGATGGTGCTAACACACAGTTAAAATTCATCTGAACTCGTCTAGTAGATGTATGATTTAATTCGAACAAATCATATATCTAATTTTAGCGAACATGCATAGTATCAAGCGTGTTAGAAATACTTCCAGATATGAAACTTTTAATTTCGTCAAGTTTTCCAAAACATTACGCTTGGAGAAGCTTCTAGCAATGTAAAAGTAACAAGTGTGGTTAATGGTTACCAGTGATATATAATTATCATAAATAATAATAAAATAATATACAAATAAGATGATAGTAATATTTCTAATGTGACTAATTGATTTTTCCTTGTCATGTTAAGCGACTAGGATAATATTAGATTTTATTTTTTCAGCATTGATTACGCTGAATATGTCTGTATTATTAATAAAACTAAAATGGTCTCTGAATTATAGAGACTAAGAATAGTTGAAATAATACTTTTCAAGAATTTAGAATGCTGATTTCATTGCGTAATGAAATCTTTCTCATATAAACTGAACAACAATCATTTCTGCCTTTGTTAGTTTATACAATTTTCATTATCAGTACCTTTGAATTAGACTAATTCACACTAGTATTATATATTTGAAATTTCGAAAATAATAAAAGTTTATTGTATAAACATAACCATAAAATAGTAATGAATCAATGGTTTAGTTGCATAGTTCTTACTAGTATAAGACATAGGTGGCACTGGAACACAACTATTGTTCAAAAGGCAACAGTAGTGAATATTTTTCTTTTTTTTATTAAGAAAATTAAAACAAATAAGAATCATTTTCTTTTCAATAATCACCCAAAATGTATTTCAATACGTTTTCTTAAATAAAAAGTAAATCAAATAAAAATGAAACTGTGCACAAGTGTATATTAAAAAGTATGATAAGTTAGATAAGTGAAATTAATTTCATACTGTTCAATAGATAGTAGAAGAAGACACTACTTGACAAATCTGACTTAATCTTTTAATCATATCACTGTTTGGTAGGATCATTG